ATTTCTAACAGGTTTTGTTACTAACTAGTAAATCCTAGAACAGCATGCAGAGACTGCACAAGGAGTAACAGAAGGTTTGCCATGAAGAAGTTCCTTTTTTCCTTGTAATTTTTCAATAATTTCTGCTCTGTCGTAATTACTGACTTGGGTTTCTTTTGAGGTGCTGGACGTGTCCATTGAGGGTTCAGGGTCTGGTGGGGTTGTTTATGGCTGATCCTGACCGGCCCAGACCAAACTCAACCACCCCCATCACTGCTTCCCCCCAGATTTGGGTCAAATATTGATGCAGTTTATAAATCCTCCCCTTCCCTGCTACTCAGTCGTTCCTTACACATCCATGGAGTAGATTTACTCCATCCTTTTCCCATCAACAGCTCTCCAGCCAGAAACTAGACACACGTAAGGCAATGGCTCCATCAGCACCTGAGGGTTGGGTTGGAGGATCACAATGTTATCAAGTTATGAGCCAGGGGATGGCATTTGAGAACAGTCCCTGCTGAACTGAAAGGATTCAGCCCCTAGGGCTCAGTCTGCAGCTGGCAGTCGATCTCAGCCATTCCCTCTGAAATGCCACCTCTCTCCCCTCTACATTACTTCCCACTTTCCTACAGTGGTTGTGTCCCCTCTAAATTTCTCCAGGTTTTCAGCTAAAAGGGTCACTTCTATCCCCTCTCAGTAACCCCAGGTTTTCTGTGCAAAATGCTGACTCGGTTTTCTCTGATTTCCCAGCCTTTCTCTCAGAAAGGCTCCTTTTTCCTCTCGAAGGTATCCCCGGATTCACTCCACAAAAAAGGTGATTTTGTTTCATCCAGATTACCTCACCACTTCTGTGGAAAATGCCACCCCTCTGCTCCCCCTCCCAATTTGCCTCTGCTTTTCGATCACAAACGTTCCCTCTGTTCCCTGCACAGGAACTCGGGTTTGACACTCAAACCTCCTCTGCCCAGCTCAGGTTTCACTCCAGAATTGTCCCTTCCCGTCCCGCTGGGAGAACTTCAATTGACTCCCCAGAATGTCCCTCGCTAATTGCCTCGGTTTTAACTCAAAAGGTTCATTTTATTCTCCCCCCCCGGGAGAGACGGGAGACCACAAGTCCCGGGTGCCCCGGGAACCCGCCCGGCCCCGCCGCTCCTTCCCCGCTCGGTGCCACCACCCTGGGAATGAGAGGGAGGGGACAGGAACGACCTGCCGACACGCCGAGCTGCCGCTGCTGCTGCACGGCGAGTGCCTGCCTGACATCTTCCATCCCTTTAGTGTTCAGCTCACGCGAACAAAAGCTTTATTTGCATTTCCAAACCCCACGGATCGGCATCTGGAATTCCTCGTATCCCAGAATCCCGCGGGAGGGCGGGCTGCGATGGGACGGAGGTGCTCGAGTGCCGGTGGGGCAGCGGCTGCCGGGTCCGCGCTACGGAAGGGCGGGCGGAGCCGGCGCGGCTGCAGCTGTTTGTGCGTGAGGGCTGCGGGAGCGAGAGCGGGGTGTGCTCTGTGCTCGTGGAACGGGGGAGCTGGGGGGTGTTTGGGTGTACGCTGTGCTGGGCTGCGGGGGCTGGCTAAGCCCCCTTTTTTTCCCCTTTTCCCCCCTTTTTTTCCCTTTCCCCCCCTTCTCCCCCTTCCCCCCTTTTTCCCTCTTTTTATTCCCCTTCCCCCCCCCTTTTTCCCCTCTTTTTTTCCACTCTTTTTTTAAAATTTTTTTTTGAAATCCCATTCCGTACTCCGGGAAAAATCCAGTCCGGGTTTTCCCCCATTCCGTACTCCGGGAAAAATCCAGTCCGGGTTTTCCTCCATTCCGCACTCTGGGAAAATCCAGTCCGGGTTTTCCTCCATTCCGTACTCTGGCAAAAATCCAGTCCGGGTTTTCCTCCATTCCGTACTCCGGGAAAAATCCAGTCCGGGTTTTCCCCCATTCCGGACACCAGGAAAAATCCAGTCCGGGTTTTCCCCCATTCCGTACTTGGGAAAAATCCAGTCCGGGTTTTCCCCATTCCGTACTCCGGGAAAAATCCAGTCCGGGTTTTCCCCCATTCCGTAATCCCGGAAAAATCCAATCCGGGTTTTCCCCCATTCCGTACTCCGGCAAAAATCCAGTCCGGGTTTTCCCCCATTCCGTACTCCGGCAAAAATCCAGTCCGGGTTTTCCCCCATTCCGTACTCCGGCAAAAATCCAGTCCGGGTTTTCCTCCATTCCGTACTCCGGGAAAAATCCAGTCCGGGTTTTCCCCCATTCCGTACTCCGGGAAAATCCAGTCCGGGTTTTCCTCCATTCCGTACTCCGGGAAAAATCCAGTCCGGGTTTTCCTCCATTCCGTACTCCGGGAAAAATCCAGTCCGGGTTTTCCCGTATTCCGTACTCCGGAAAAATCCAGTCCGGGTTTTCCCCCATTTTCCTCCATTTTCCCCCCCCCTTCCCGGGCTCGCTGCCGGTGTTCCCGGAGGGCGTCGCGGGACCGGCAGTACCCGGAGCTGTGCGGGGTCCGGCGGAGGGGCTGGGGGGTTGCGGTGGCGGGCTGGGGCTCAGCTCGGCTCCCGGGGATGGCAGAGCTCGCTGTGGAGCGCTCGGTGCCCGTTCCGTGCGGGGGCTTGTGGGGAACTCCCCCTTCCTGGGGGAATGACCCGTCCTGCGGCTTCTGGAGGGGTGAGCTGGGCTCGGGACAGCGCGGGGCGGCTGGGATGGGCAAAGGCAGCCTCCTGCTGGAGCGCTTGGCAACCCAAAGAGGGAGGGAGATTTTGTCCCCTGCTTACGGAGCACGATATTGGTGCTGTATCGTTCCCAGGGGAAGTGTCCGCTTGAACGAGGTGTTTCCCAGCGACACTCCAAGACTAAATGATGGGATTTGGGTCTTTGCAGCTCGGTGGAAGCTCTTTGGAGAGAGGGGAGTGAGGCAGGTGTGCTCTCCCACACTCGGAGGGCAGGCGGCATCGCTTCCCTGTGCGCTCCCAGGGAGCCGCCACCTCTCCCCGGCTGGGAGACGGGGAGCGGCGGGTGGATTTCCTGGCTGCGCCGGGCGGAGGGAATCCCTCATCCCCCACCCCGAGGCTTCCGTGGGGAGCCGGTACCTGCTGCTGCCGGTGCCCGGGTGCCCGTGGCCGGTGTCCCGGCGCTGCCGGATCCTGCCCGGCCGTTCCCTGTGGCGGAGTGGCCGCGGGACGGCAGCGGGGGCAGCGGAGCATCCGCGGCTCGGGGGCCGCGGGGCCACTGGGGGAGTTGGAGGGGCTGGCGGCCCCCACAGGGAAGTGCCCCCGTGCCCGCAGGTGTGCGCGCTTTGAATCCCTGCATCGTCCCTTGGGAGCTGCAGCCCGGGCACATGTGTTTTCCAAGGCTACGGGCTCCTGGCATCGCTTGGGGACAGGACAGGATTTGGGAAGGAGCTGTGTGGTGCCCTCAGCACGTGCCCTCGTGCAGTCCAAAGAAAGGGTGTTTTATTGCATTCCCAGGAACTGCTCCAACAGCTGTAGACTTCCCCCTGCCTTCTCAGGCTAAGGATGCGGTGACAGCAAGAAGGCAACTGGTGGGATTGCTGCATTTTGGTCAGATGTGTAACCTGTGGAATGGGTGTGTTTCCTAGGAGAAAACATTCTGTAGTGGCAGAATGGTTGCCACACACCCCACGTGATTGCCACACCACGGCGTGAGCCTTCAGGCCCTGCAAGTCCTCCCCCAGACTTGGTGAAGTGTTGAAGTGTGAACTGACTGCTGGGAGTAAGGATGTGTCTGGCAAATGGCAGTGCTGCCCACTGAGCCGCTGTTTCTAGAGAAGAGGGTCCTGTCTGACAGGCAGCAGGCAGTGGACACGGCTCAGTTGCTATGTCTGCCGTGGATGGGCACGGAACTGGCCAGCTGTGCTTCTTGGAATGGTGGTGGCTCGTGGCTGAGGTGCTGCTGTTGGAGAGGGCAGCGGTGGTTGCTGCTGGACAGATGGCCAGGAGTGGGTCATATCCAGGGAGCAGCGCAGGCAACACGAGCAGGATGTTGGAGGACATGGGATTTCCTTGAAACTTCACCTGTTTGTAGCTTTTCTCCCGTGGCTTGGAGTCTCTTTGGTAGCTTGTGACCTGTGTCAGGTTTCTTTGGTTTGGTTTTGTTTTTCTCGATCAAATGAAAAGGGTGGGTTTTACCACAGGCAAGATTAAGGTCGTTTTCAGAAACGTTGGAGAGAGGTGTCTAATGTTTCTATCAGGGTGTCCGAGCTGTCTGCTGTCAGTGCAGAAAGGCAGGCAAGCTGCAGGGTTGCTGCACTTGCTCTGGGGGCTGGAGTGAGAAGCAGCTGGAGGTGTTTGCTCTCTGCTTGGTCCCTGCCTTCCCCTCAGTTCCCTGGGACTCCAGGTAATCACAGCTCACCTTGGCTTTTCCAGGGCCCTTGCTGAAGGGTTTCTAAGTGTGGCCCTGAAATTTTCTGGAGTTAGAATTGATTGCTGTTCCAGGGCATGTCTCACTGGGCAGTCTGTGTTTTCACACTTCCCAGGGCAGGATAATTGCAGCAGAAGAAAGCCAAGGCAGCCCAGAGCCTGGCCCAGGAAGGCCCAGGCCTCTGGCAAGCCCAGGGCTTGCTGCTTGGTGTTGATTGTGCCGGTTCCGGTCCCGCATTGTCTGCTCAGGGCTTGTTCCTCACCGTTCAGTTGCAAATGAGAGGGGAACCAGAGGCAGAAAATGCCCCTGCTGCTGGGGCTGAAGTGTCTGTGGTGCCTGGGGCTGGGCAGGACTTGGCCCTGCTGCCTGCATGCTCTGCAGTGGCCAGGGAGGGATGCCAGAGGTCACCCCCCTGTGTGCTGTGCTGCACAACAGGGGCTGGGCATCCCGCTTGCCTGCTGGGTGAGCCCGGGGGAGGCCGTGGTAGGGCTGAGAGGCTGCTGCTCTCTGGGGTCTCTGGGTTTGCCTTGGAATCCCAAAGCCTCTGCCTGCATGGGGGGAGACAAAGGTGACTCTAAATTGGTTTATTGTTGAGTGTTTTGGTGCTAGAGCCCCTGGTGGTCTAGTGGTAAAGGCGCCGTGCTATCACCGCGGAGACCCGGGTTCGATTCCTGGGCAGGTGGGGCTCGTTAGCCCTTAAAGGCAACCCACCTACGTCCTAAGGACCTCGCTGCCACCGTCCAAGCTCGCTTGGCCCCGGCAGATGAACCTTAGGATTAAAGGGTGGGCTCAGTTCCGCGCACACTGTGTCTCACCTAAAAAATCCAATGCGCAGGCTGGAAGGTGGAAAGACCTTCCCCGGATCTTCGCTCGCGAAGACTGGCCATTATTATTATTGTTTTGGTGCTGAGTTCATGCTTTTGGCTTGTTGGGTGTCAATTCCCAGCCTCAGGCAGGGCTTCCCATGGAGTGTTGGTGCTGCTGCTGCCAGGAGAGAGAAATTCTTTGGGAAGCTGGGATACAAATAGCAACTCTGTGAATTGCTCAGCTTGTCCTAGGTAAGAGCAGGTTTTAGGGAAGAAATGCCTGTAGTTAGTAATCAGAAGAGAAGGGTGAAAGCCAGGAGCCTTTGACTTCCCCAGTGCACTTCACTGTCTTTATTCTCCTCTCTTTCAGGACAAGGAAAATCACTGACTTGGGTCCAGCTCTGCCAATGCCTCGAGGTGTGAGCAGCCAAAGGCAAGAGGCTCCAGCCCTGCCGGCTGTGGTGGGGGCTCCTGGTCCTGCCAGTCTGGGCTTCCCGGGCACTTCCTATTAAAGGATACCATGAGAATAGTTTTGGACTGAAAGGGGAAAGGAGCTGTGTCCGTGAGAGTTCAGCTGTCCATGACAAAAGCTTTCTGCTTTTCCAGTCAGTAAAGTCTTCAAATGTCTTGCAGTGTGTAGGAATGCCTGGCTTCTAAAACTCACCAGCTGAGCCTTAGGGGCTTCTCTGCCGAGCTGTTTTCAGGCAGCCAAATTGGCCCCCAGCAGGGACTCTGTACCTGCTCTCCCGTGGTTCCAAGGGATCTCTGGGCCTTCATGCCAGCACTGAGATGTTCTCGGGAAGGCCCTCAGATCCCTGGAGCAGTCTGGAACACAGGACTTTGTACTCAGAGAGGAATGTGTTGGAAAGATACCAATCTGCAATGTTCACTACAAAAAATAAAAATCCTCACTGGGTTTACAACTTCACAAGCACAGAAATTAGTCTATCAGTAGCTAAAAGTCTTGGCAAAATGAAGTTTATTACCTTTAGTTGTACAATAGGACAGATAGATTTTTTTTTTTTTTTTTTTTTTTTAACTTCAAATCTCAGTGATGTACCTTTTTGTCCTGCTGGTAATTAAAGTACATAGAACTGGAAAGGAGCCTCTGTATTGCACTAAATAATGTTCATCTTTGGGTTCTTCTCAATAAAGTGTCACGGTTGAACCTCAGCTGGCAACAAAGCCCCACACAGCCACCCTCTCACTCCTCCTGACAGGGCAAGGGGGAGAATCAGAAGAGAAACTGTGAGGAATCTCGTGGGCTGAGACAAGGACAGTTTGTTAGGTAAAGCAAGAGCCACTCGTGAAAGTGAAGCAAAACAAGGAATTCATTCACCACTTCCCATGGGCGGGCAGGTGTTCAGCCATCCCCAGGAAAGCAGAGCTCCAGCACAGGTAACAGTGACTTGGGAAGACAAACAACATCACTCACAGCATCCTTCTGTTCCTTATTGCCTCAGCTTTATGTGATGAGCATGATGCCACATGGTCTGAAACATCCCTTGGGTCCATAGGGGTCAGCTCTTCTGGCTGTGTCCCCTCCCAACTTTTTGTGCCCCTCCAGCTTCCTCAGGCACCGTGGGGTGGGGTAAAGGGGCAGAGAAGGCCTTGACTCTGTGTAAGCCCTGCTCAGAAATTACAAAAACACCCCTGAGTTATCAACTTTGTTTTTAGCACAAATCCAAAACACAAACCCACACCAGCTAAGAACATTATCTCTACCTCAGCCAAAACCAGGACATTGAACCAAAATTCAATCTTGACCTGTTTAAAAATAATCATGTAGCCCTTGTCTGTGATTTGTGGGTTGAGCAGTTACTTCTTTGAAAACACAATTTCATTATTCAGAAGTCTAAGCAGAGAAAGTTTGCCTTTTTCTAAAACTCACCTACAAGCAGTTCAGGCTTTGATTTCCTAATTGTGCCTGTATGATTCCCAGAGTGAGATATACGTTGCTTTATGACTGTGAATTTGAGGGACATAGGGATTCACAGAATAATTGTCCCTGTTTTGTAGAATTCTTGCATTAGCAGGTTGTTAGGGCATTTCTGTTTTGGCAGTCATTTTGCTGGCAGCAGGAAAATATCATGCTTTGTGGCAATCTTTTTGAACTTTGGTAACTGGAATAGTAAGAAAGCAAACTAATTCTGTTATCAAGTGTGCTGAACCAATAGAGATTTTAGATGAAGTTTTGTGGAATTCAAATTTAATTGGCTGCTTTGCTCCTATGAACATACAAAGTAGAATGTTGCTTTTGAAGGAAATACGAAACCTGATAAATCTGTGTTTGTTGAATTCAGAGGCCAGACTAGTAAGAGCTATAATGAGTTTAGTGACATTCATTGCTTTATGTGAATTATAGTGTTTACTTTCATGAATGCCCAGTTGGATTACCCAGGACAAACTGATAGGCAAGAATGAGGCAGCTGAGTACTTATGGTCTCAGAAAGAAAGTTTGTTCTCTTTATAGGGAGGTTGTAAATTGAAGAAAATATCTTCTTTGAATATTAAACTTCTAAAAATAGTTTCTTTAATCTATTGTAAAACTATACACATAGTGTCAAATCCCACTGTCACTGTGACAAGCCAATCTGAGTAGAGTTTTCACTGAAAATGTATTCATTTCAGCTTAATTTCTGCTTAAAAACCTTAAGGGAGTTTTTAAGATCTTAGTTGCAGTGACTACAGGTGCCATTCAGAAGAAGTCTGAGTATCACCTTTCAGGATTTAATACAAAAAGAAAGGTGTAACAGTCAAGTGGTGATAGTTCCTCAGAAACGTAGCTACATGAAAGAGTTCTATAGAGCAGTTAGATTGTTGTGCTCTGTTGTTCTGTTAACTAAAAATTCAGGGTCGCATGGTGATAAGAGGAATAGAATAGAGACAGTCTTCTTCCATGCAAACAGAAGAGCAACACCCTCCCCAGTCCTCTGAATGTAACTTTATCAGGTCATCCCCACGTCTGTGTGGAAGTCAGCTCACTGAAGCATGTCATGTGATTGCAGCTCTCAGTTGTAACCAGCAAGAGGTATAACCTCGACAGAAATAGCTGTAGAGATAAACTGAGAGGAGTTCATGAGTCCTGACTGTGGATATTTGACTGAACCAGTCCTCCTTGGGTTAATATTTTAATCACTGAGTCACTGGACAGAAATGCTGTGAATAGCAGCTAGTTTTTAAAGAAGGAAGCAATCTCCACTTGTTCTTGAAACTCGATCTACCAAGTATGCTCTGGGCTTCATTTCTGGACCAGAATCACTCTGGCGTGAAAGATGGAGGGAAGTTTGTTTTGTGAAGGTCAGGAATGAGCTCGCTTCTTCACTGCTTGACACAATAAGCATTTGCTGTACCAGAAAAGAGAGTTTCTGTGCTTGGAAAGCTTCAGAGTGAAAACTGAGATGCTGACAGAGCAATACGGGGTTGTTTCCAGGCTGGAGAAGGATTTTGGAGACAGCTGGTCTCCAAAGAGACACCATATGCCTGAAGAGGGAATTAAAGGTACATTATCACTATCTGTGAATTTAAGGTTCAGTAATGTCCAGGAGGTCAAAAGGATCTTGTAGAAACTTGGTCTGAAACACCTAACATTTCAGACACTATTACAGGAGACATAGTACTTGTACTAATATACAAGTCTCAGGAGACTGATGAAAGGTTCATTGATGTCAGACACGCTGCACACCTGGTCAGAGCTGGTGTTTAAACATGTAAAGGACTGGGGTCTAAGTTGTTCCTTCAGCAAGTACTTTTGGAATAAATGTTTCTTTCCTTCAGCAAGCACTTTTGGAATAAATGTTTCTTTCCTTCAGCAAGCACTTGTGGTATAAATGTTTCTTTGAATATTATGACTGTTATTTACAACACTATCCAAATCATATTAGGAAAAATCCTTCATCTGCATCTTTTCTGATCTTTATATTTGTAGTAATGTTCTAAAAAATGTTAAACACTGACTTAGACATCAATGTCATATTTACAGTACTTCTAACTTTTATTTTTGCTCTGCCCTAAGTTTGGAAGAAAGTGTTTGCTCTTCAGGTATTATTTGGCTTTTAGTTGTCTTTATCCCATTCCTCCTGAGACTGGGCACTGCCCTGCAGCTGGCACTGTTAGTGAAAAGTCAGTAATCTGTGGGGTTTCCTGCTGCCCCCATCAAGTATTTTTGAAACTTGCAGGATGTTCCTTAAAGTTTAGTGTGGTATATCCTCCTACTAGAGGAATTCACAGAAGGGAATGGATTTTAAGGAGCCCAGCATTAAGGGCAAAATTAGTTAAGGTGAGGAATTATAACTAAAAGAATCTTTGAACAGATAAAATAACCATGTTTTGATCATTATAAAAACCTCCCTGACTCTTCAAATGCTGAAACCTCTGTAAGTTTCAGTATCACTAGAAATCTGCACCTGCAGCAACATATTTCTGTGGCTAAGAATAAAAAATATGTCACAGCAAATATCACTCTTCTCAAAATAGCTGTGCCTTATTCTGATCTGTAAGTACTATTGTCCATGGCTGAAGAAAGTCTAGCTTGAAATAGGTGGCCACAGCGAGTGCACAAGTGGTGACATCAGCTATGAATTCCCTTTGGTTTCCCAGCAGCTTCTGCCTTGTGGTGCATGATTGGATTTAGAGGGTCAACGCTGTCAAAGCACATATTTTCACTAAAATCAAGGAAATTATTCACATCTTTGAAGTTAATGCTCCCACACTGTGCTGGTCTGAAGTGTTAGTACAGAAGGAGAGAGAAAATCTGAAATGGTCAAATCCCCTCTTTGTGGAAGAGGACACATTTTTGTTAACAGAGCACGAGCTTATTGACACCTGCAGTGAAATGGGCCCAGCAAACCCGTGGTGTGAAAGAGAATCACTTCTGCTTTCCCCCCGGACGATGGCAACGGGGGAGCGTCGGCAGCAGAACAGAAGCGCTGCTGGTGTGGAGGTGTTGCCCTCGGTGTGGCAGATCCCCGGGGCTCAGCTGGGCTGGGGGAGCAGAGAGTATTTGCATGGCATCACCCAGATGTGCCAGGATAGCTTCCAGCTTGTTCCTGCGAGCTGGGCCAGCTTTCTTATCGCTCAAGAAGATGTTAAATTTTTTCGGTGTAGAGCCCCTGTCCGCAGAGTTGACTCCATCTGAATGTATCCGTGGGAAATACAATTTCTGCACGCTCGCTCTTCTTGCTCAAGAACAGAGGCACGAAGGTGTAAAAGGTTTCCAAGAGAAAACATTAAGCTTTCAATAACGTGCTTGCTTTTTTCTCCGTCCCCTGCCTGGAAGCACGGGAAGAGGGAAGCTGCAGGGCTGGAGCTGGATTTGCTGGGCGAGAGCTCGCCCTGGTGGCCTGTCGGCAGCTTGTCCTTGCAAGAGGTCACCGCTGCCAGGTCCTTACCTGCACAAGGCTGCGTTACATTTGAAACTCTTACTTCATAACCGTACTCTTCTTTTAGCACTGCTTTTATGTATTTATATATTTATCTCCATATAGAGACATTAAGACTAGAAAGAGACATTTCTCAAATATCTCAGCTATTCTTCGCATATATTTATTTGTGTAAAGTAAATATTTCTCTAACTTTTTAATAGGGAAAATACATTTTTTTTGTGGTGATACAAATTACTACCTCCTTGAAAATGTGTCATGACTTCTCTCATGCATCCCAGAAAAAGGCTCTTTGCAGTACTGCCAGAGGAGGTTAATAGACAACCTTTCAGTAACCTTGATTTGTGGCGGGAGAAGTCCTTATTCCTCCATTCAGAAACATCATAAGTAAACTATAGTAGCCTGGAAACTCTACAAGCCTGTTGACTGTACAGAAACGAGTGCCAGGATCTCTGTGAATAGCTGCAGGCATAGTTTAGTTATCTCTGTTTTCTGTTTTTTATATGTTAGGTCAAATGTAATTTGCCTGGAAAATAGATAGTAAAAGACTATTGACTAGAAAAAAAAATCAAACTTTCCCAAGGTATGGCAAAATATTTTCTTTTCTAACTAATTTTGTGATATCCAGGTTTACGTCAATATAAATCCAGTGTACTGATTGTATGTGCAAATATACCTAAAAATAAGGAAAAACCTTATATTTTGACTGTGAAATGAATTTTAAGGATGACACCACAATTCTTTCCTTCCTAGACTTTGAATGATGGTAGCCCAGGTGGAGTTGAATGGAGCCACGAAATCACCTTGACCATAACCAGAGCACAGCCTACATAAGGACTAAAACCCAAGCCTGAGCTTAAAGGCAGCTAGGGAGGTGTGTGGGTGGAGGCACAGATAAGGCTTCTCACAGCTGTTCTCACAGGAGCCTGATCCAGGTTACACAGCTGTGCCACATCAGAGTGTAGCTTGAACACTGGCAGCCAAAGCCTGGATGGATGGCTGGATGGATACATCATGATGATGATAACAACAAAAGTTTTGTAGGGAAGAAAGTTTACAGGCTGCTTAAGGTACTTAGAGCCTCTTTGTGTGCCTGAGTCTGGTGGTTCTGATTCTGAAATATTTCCTGTTTTGAGTTAGGGGGTAGTGACACACCCTAGCCCAGGTGTTCTAGCTAAGTAGACAAGTATGAAATCTCTCTCTTCTTACTTAATTCAGGAAACTCCAGTGACCCCTTGTACCTTCATCACTGTAAAAGCACCAGAGAGGACGAGCAGCTTGGTAAGTGAGCTACTGGATAATACAATGGAAAAGAACTGAAGTATTTATTGATCAGGACAATGCTCTTTCTTTCCTCTAGGGTGTGTTAGTCTTCTACATTGGACTTGGTTTCTTGGTTCTGCAGTACACGAGTCAGAAAACTCCTTTTCAGATCTTCTTTATGATGTTGGACCATCCTTTCTGTTCTGTGGCCAAATGATTTATTATTGTATGTGAAGTGAAATAGCTTTAACAGGGGTGAGTGAGAATATCTATTGTTTGAATAGTCAGAATTACATGTCTAGCTGCTTTTTATGCTTTTAGCCTGACATTTCTCTGTCATTGTATGGGCTAACTCCTTTGAGTCTCTGTTCTGTCTCTTGGTGTACAAGTGTTTCATTCATAGCTGCCTTGCTATCCTTCTGTATTAGGAGCTTTTTTCAGCCATTGTGAAAAGTGTGTGCTTCATTTGGTGACAAGGCTGATGTAAATTATTTCCTTGGCAGCATGTGAGTACTTCTGCAGATTTAATCCAGGCTTGTCTATCTCTTGAATATTCAGTGTGAAATACGGTGGGGTATTTAATAGGAGAAAGAGTGTGTTTCCTAGGATAAATGGTGTTTCTAAGATGAGAGTATCCTAGCTAGGTGATGAGTTGGCTGCACAAACCTAGCTATAGGATACATTGCTGTTAAACTATAGCACATGTTTAAAGCATAAAAAAGCTTTATGAGGGGTTTATGTTTGTAAGCTGTATTTTATTCAGCTTTATCTGAAAGGTGGCAAGCCAGCATGTGGTTGTAACTCCCAAATATTTCAGAAAGCAAAGTGATTTTTAGAGTGTATGAGAACTACTCTGACAGATTTTCTTTGAGTCACAGGTAATTGTCAGCAATCTGATACTGATGAATGCTACAATAAAGTCACTATACCTCTAAGTTATTTATCCTGAACTATTACAGGGGTTTGGAGGGTTGAATATAAAGAAGTAGTTTTGAAACTTTTTGAGAATTCATTCTGTTTGTATCCAACAGGTTGTGAAAACACCTGTAGGAATGATTGTGTAACGAAAGTAGTCAGGAATAAAATTTAGGATAGAGAAATAGACTTTGCATCTGACAAGATGCTGTGTAAGATGAAATGCTGTCATGCCTGAGTTAGGCCCATTAAAGCTATGGGGGAAAGGGGTGGGAATGAATCTTCTGCATTCTTCCGAAAGACAGAAACAGTCAAAAGAGACAGATTGAAGTCTGTTGTAATAGTTTTGTACCAAATGATTCTCAAGTTCTCTGGCTACAAGGCCTAGACACTTTCAAAGAAATGAATGCTTTTTACTGTGAGTTTTTACTATAGCAATGCTAAATATACCACTCTATTAAAGAAGGTGCAGAATGCAGCGGATGATGTGCTGAAATTATCAATCTTAAAAAACTAAACAACTCTTTAAAAGGATTTGCGGTAGATTTTTAAGAGCAGATGTGTCTGTCTATGGCTTTAGATCTTTCTGAGAAACTTACATTTTAAGAATGGTGTATTATTACGTATCACTATGGCTGTTATACATTTTGCTGTACGTATTGGAGTAGCATTTCAAAGGCCCCCATTATCTGAGTTTAGATCTATCAATAGGCATCCAGATTTTAAAAGGTAAAATTGCTCAACAGAACATGAGAGTCAAATCTTAAACCAGACTTCAAACTCAGGCTGTACCCAGCAATTCCTTATTATTGTTGTTATTAAGTGAGAGCTGCTTAGCATTTAATAGTTCTGGAAATGTTGCCTATAGTAATTAGCTCTTGGAACACTCCTAAGGAAATAGTGCCAAAATTCCTGTTAATTTCATATGTGCATGATCAAGCCTCTAAAGTCTTATTTTGTAATTCAGCCACTTAAAGATATATGTTACCTTGCAATGACAGGGATCTGTCTTAGTTTAATGTAGTATTCTGTGTCACTGTGTCGACACTGAATTTTCCTGAACTCTCAAATGCATGAGAAGTTCTATGTCTCTTGCAACTTTTTTAAGGTTGCTCTAAAGAAGATGCAAAAAAATGCATTTCCATGAGAACAACTTGAATTGTTCACACTAGAAATGAAGGGTAGATTATAAAGTAAGGTACTTCATTTGGGGTGAATTATCATTGATTTAAAGGGTGTTGATGTTTCCTGACAGGCTTGTTAAAAAATGTTTGTAGTGCTTAATTCATACAAGATAAACACCATGATCTTTCCAGATGGCACAGTAATACACTGGATGGCTGTAATGTTATATTTCTTCTGCCTACAATTCTTACCAGTAAGAAGTTGCCAGGATAAACAGGCTGATTTGCTTCGTGGTGCTCTTGATCTATGGTGATTATAGTATATAACCCACTTTGCCATGCTTGGCCAGCAGATGTAATTGGACATCATCCTGGTTTCCAAGTCCACATCTCCCTGACTACAGAATGGCCTGCCAGTGATTGCCATCACTGATGGTATTTCAGCTGTGCTTCTGTGAGACTGTTATCATTAATCCAGCAGTTGTGCCATAAATTCTACAACACGTGGTTCAGTTCTTTAGGATATTGAGATTTCTTGGCTGGGCATCTGCTGCTTAATACATCAAAAACGGAAGACAAAAGCAAACATGTATTTAATTTCATATCAGAAAATGTAGAGAATATGAAACCCACTATAAATTAACTGTCTATTTACTTTTTGTGAAATGAAATAGTCTGAGCCTTTCTTCCGATAAAACTAATTATAGGGTTCAGAAATTACTCAGATTGCAGATTGAAGCTGTACCAATTTTATCTGACAGATCACTGTAATTGCAGCAGTAAAGTGCCTGCAAATCCGTGTTGCTTAGTAACATTATGGACAAAGTTATGAGGAAGGAGTCATACTTTTTAACATCTACATACTTTCATTGACTTTTCTGTTGGAATGTCATTCACTACTTGCATATCACTGTTTTAGCATTATGCCCTGGCAAGACACAGTCCTGTGTTCCTGGAGCTTGTACCTGTGAAGGCTTATTTCAGGGAATAACTTTGTGCAAGGGGGCGTTAAAGCTTCAAGGGGGCTCCTAAGCCAAGTGTATCCATAAATCTTTGCAGTCTCCAGACACGGTGTAGTTATGCTAAACTTAGTTACAACTGGGGTGCAATGTAATGTAAGGGATTTTGTAGAAAGGCTGCACAGGCTTGCCTCATAGAAGGGAGAGCCATACAGGGGGAGACAGGTGACAGACAAACATCCCATTTAAAGGAACATTAAGAATATGGTGCATCTATCTTTACCTTCCACTCACTTAATGTTTATCCTTGCATATTCTTATGGTTAGAGGTGGCAACGTTGATCAATGGAAAATTATAATAGAAATTAACTTGAAAGTTTGATTCCATGCACATCCTCTCAAATCTAGGCCCAAAAGAGGAAACAAATGGTCTTCCAACTAGTGAATACTGGCATCCTGGTTTTGCCAAGTGTTAGTGATGTAAAATGTTCTAAGGAGAACAGCCACAAAGCCACAGCCTTGTGCTCAGTGAACAGACTCCTTTACCAGCATAAAACACAACTCATGTTAGTGACACTTTGTGAGATGAGAAGAATTCAACATTTGGTCAGATGGCAGTTTTGAGGCTTCCAACTTAATTTGTGATAAAATGTGTTTAAATGTGTTTTGCTTTCTTCCTTCTTGAAAGGGCAACTGAGATAGAAACTTTGACCAGTCTTTTCTGATAAAATTGAAAATCAAATTCAAATACACAAGACCAGATAAAGTAATAGGACTGCATGGCTGGAGACAAGTCCATTATGTCTGGCATTAGAGGAAATTTTACTTTTCTTTTCCCTGAATAAATATCTGTTTTCAAGGAAACTTCTAAGAAGAGAGGTTGCATTTTTACAGTATATGTGTGATATATTCAGTTTGAAGTAATACTGTACACCCTTACCTTGTCTCTTGGTTTCAAGATGCTGATATTCAAAAGAAGGTAAACTCACCTTTTTTTTTTTTTCTACAGGATTTTTTAAGTTATAGGCACTGCTTCTAGTAACAGGAAACATCACAAAATCTTAGTAAGGCTGTTTTCAGTTGGTTTTGACTTTGGCAAAGTTTTGCTATATGGACTCTAAGATTTATACCAGGCCTTTTTCCTTTGTTTTGAAATTTCAAGTAGAGGAAAATGTGTTCCGTGTGCTGCAAAGGACCCTCTAAAAATCTGCTTAACTGTCTAGGTTGCAAGTGTCTGCAGAACTGCAGTTTGTATGAGATCAACAGGGACTTGTCTAAACCACTCCAATAGTGCCACTGTGTGCAGCTGCAGCAATCCCAGTGGGCTACAGTGTGACATTCACATGAAGTTTGTATTCGTATCAGGTTTCAATATAACTTTTTTTGATCAGTTAATTCAGGCAAACAAACTGTCCCTCAAAATTAATCCTTTGTTTTAGAGTCAACATTTTTTTTTTGCTTGCTTGTGTTCAGGAAAGAAAAATAAGTTTTTAGTCATTCACTTCTTGCTGTGGTGTTTGATTTTTTTTTAATTATTATTTCTTTTTTTATTTTCAGATTTTTTGGGGTGAAGGCTATTTCCTGTTTTGCTTTTATGCGAGATACATGGTGCATGACAGGATTAATCCTTTAGTTGGAGGTCAAGGACAGCTGGCAGAGTTTTCAAGTGATCTCAAGAAAAGTCAGGGCTATATATAAAGTGTTGAGTAATATGTGACATATTACATGATCACCTCACCTAAATTTGTCAGCAAAGGAAATAATGTTTTGGATATGTTTGAACCCTTATTTGAGTTTCTTTAGTACCGTTAAAGATTGACAGCTGCTCAGTTTTCCCCAAGAACTTCAAACTTATTGTCAGTGTTTTCTCCGCTTAGCTGGGTGAGTGACAACAACCCAATTCCCCAGGTATGGGGGAATCCTGAAAGCTGATGGATTATGGACCCTTGGTTTTTACCTGCTCATGAACTCATTGAAAGCAAGATCATATGATGATTTTTTACTGAGCTCTGGCAAAGTATAATGGGGGGAAACCCCCCCCAGACCTACTTAGTCAAATAATGTGATGTGACACGTTTATGCTGGTAATTGGGTCAGTTATGTAAAGAGTGGTTCTTCTAGTGATAGAGAGCCAAGACAGCAAATGCTATGACATCTTCTCCTTCTGCAGCCCTAAGGTGAGGCAGGCCTTGGGGAATTAATTCATAGCTCCTGCACTTGGAACGCCTTGGCCGTCACTTTTTGAGAGGGAAAGGGCAGCATCAACTGGAGTAACCTGGAGGACACTCTGGCCCATGCTAGCATGTTCCTCCCAGAGGCAGACATTGTGAATCATTAGCTAGGATCAGAATACTAATGTGTCTACAATGCAAAATTGAATTAGTTGTAGTTAACAACACCTGGTGGGCTTTTCTTAGTTCAGGATATTTTTTTTATGAGGGTAAACGAACTTGAACAAGAGCTAAAGGGGAATGATTGAGGGTGGTGGCAGGCAGAGGTGTCTGGCATGTGACCCATCTTCCAGACAGTTTGACTGTCTCTGTAGTGTGTTTCTTTGCATTTCCTGTCCACTGTGAACTTAAGTAAAGACACATTTGGCTGTACCTGCTTTGCCAGTATTATTATTTTGAGGTTTGGTATGAAATAATTTAACGTTGCTTATTTTTTACTTTGCAGAGTCAAAATATCCTTTGGAACAGATACTGGTTAAGTGCTCACCTGTCACATGACAGGTAGTGTGTGCTATACTGGATGGTATTACAGAAAATAATGACAGGCTTCTAACTCCTCTGGTAAGTTTTCTCCTAAGTGGATATATAGTTCAAAATGTATGTCATGTGAAATGAAAGGTGATTTTATTTTTTTAATTGCCATTTAATCTTCTGAATATAAGATTAGGCTGAAAAGCTAGGAAGTTGGGCAAAAGCAGTTATAAAACTTGCATTCCTATTTTTGTTTTTCCTAAGTCTGTACAAACTTTATGTGCTATTTCAAGTTATATTAAAACACCTTGAGAGTTTTGGCAATGTCTGATGTAGTGGATGGAATAATGTACCAGAATTCACATTCCAAGTTTCCTGGATAGCAAAATTGTGCCACTTGAGTTTACCAGGAAATCTCCTCACTTGTTTGGATTATGCGTTTTCTTCTCGGAGGAGGGGCGGCTGACAAATCTTTAACAGGCAGAACTAAATAGTCAGAATCTTCTCTACCCAGTTGCCTTATGGAAGTGGAACACTGAAAGTATTGAGCTGTGATTGATTTATAGTGAGATTTGTGTGGAAGAGTGCACACACTTATGTTTCTGTTAATTGCTTTATTTTTCTGCTCTCATTTTAACCATGTATTAATATGCACAGGGAGTGTGTGCTTATATTCTTGCTTTTCCACTTTGAATGTGGCAAATTAATTTTACAGAGTGTTAGCATTATTGAAACAGAAGCAAAGGAAGCAAATATATAGCTCAGGAAAAAAAGGGTTTTTTCTCCAAAAAGTTAGATGCTTTTGCCAAATAGTTGCACATACGCACAATTCCACTTATTTTTAAATACCAATACCAAAATGAAAAGCATATAAAAATTTAACATATGCAAAAACTTTCCATATGGGAGCATTTGTTAGTGGGAGAAGTACTGGCTGATTAAAGGGACTGTAACAGGGTGTGGTTTCCAAGAACACTAGAATCAATAGCATCTGATGGCATTCTGAGGCCTTTAAAGCAAAATAATTTTCACAAACACATTTAGGAAAATTGATGTAAGCAGGAAATATGTTAAAGATGAGGAAAATAACATTCCTCAGAATCTTTTAAGGCAGTAAGAAGGACTGTTCTTTTATTATCCTTTCACAGGAGGTTGTTTCTGTGCCTGTCTTTGCCCATTCTCTGTCAGTCCAGGGTCATTCAGCTCTGTAATAAACAACTGTCTGATAGAATCTGTCAAAAGCTTTTATTGCTTACCAAGCTGTTCCATTTGGAACGTTGCACCACAGAAGCTGCAGTAAGATATCGTCAGCTTTCCTAGCCTTGCATTTTAGTTTCATTCAATGGCACTTTAATGAATTGTAGTATCTGTTAGCCTAATCTGAGACTTTACTTGAAGGCTGTACTAGCTGATTAGAAATCCATTCCTCAGTGACTTCAGTGCAGGACTGTTTTTATTAGCCAAGTGGTTTCCAAAGTGTTGAGTGCTCTTGGTGACCTCAGATGTGAGGAGGAGCTGGCAGGGCTGAGCAGGCTGTGGGGAGATTTGAGCATTTCCCCTGTGTGAACAAAACTTTCAAAAGCAAGAACTCAGAGGTGGTGTAATCACAGATCTAGCTTGTCATACATAATATATGTGAAACACTGGACAGGTTCTCAAAGGTGTTTCAAGTATGCACACATGGAGATCACAGGGCATCTGTGTCTTGATAGAACTCGACGTTATTGATAGAGCTGGTGTTTCTGAACTGAGGATACTATGTAGCCTCTCTCTGAATTACTCCTGGCCACAAAATTCAGTCAAAAATAAAACAGTTCATAAGCGTTCTGTATCTCTTGAAAGAAATCCCGTGTGTTACCCCCAACCAGAGCCTAGTTAATTCCACAGGCCTTGAATAGTAGTGGGATGCCAGATATAAATCAGGCTCTGTGATATGTACATAACACAACTCACGCTGTTTTGCTTTTAGGCCCATGCTATCTCTTGTTCTATCCATGCAGTAAGACAGCCCTCTGAGATTCATCTTTGAAAGGGTAATTCTTCTGTAAAACTCTTTATGTTGGGTATGGGTTTTCATTTTCTTTTTTTGTTTTTATTTTTAATTGTCAACCTTACCTAAACACCTTTCAGTTTTGTACCAAGTAAATATCATAGGTGTGGTAAATTCTGAAAATAACATGAAAGAAAGTCTTTTGTGTATTGTGTAAAGAATGGGAAATTTCTCTTTAGTCATCTCTAGGATCACTTAGACTGATCTGATTAGAAGGGATTTTAAAGTAACACTAGCCTGTAGGACTATATTTCATGTCAAGTGCCATTTTAGAAAAAAATTTAGTTGGGATCCTCTACTTCTGCATGTTGTATTCTGCTTAAATAAAAACTGAGACATGTATTGCAAGAAGGAATGTGGACCCAAATAAAGACAAATTAATTTCCACATGTGCTCCTTCATACCAGTTTACATTACCACGTATTTTCCAATATTTGAGTCACTACTTGGAGACAAGGGAAAGGACAGAGTTGTCTGAAGTTGAGTGGCTTAACAACTTATTTTAAACACCATTACCTCGTGTTTTAGCTCTGTTTCCAGTCTTGCTGCTAACACTTAGGAATTACTTTGATTTGTGAGAATAACCTGCTCGCCAAACACCCCATGGAAGTTGTCCTAGCTAACAGAATCACGCCAAAGAAACAAATTTTCTTTTTATTTGTGTCACACACATTAAGCATTACAAAGGCATGTTCTCTGATATGCAGGGACAATGATCTTTGAAAGCACTGGGACTAGATACTTAAGCACAGATCTCTTTTTATAGGTTGGTCCTGGCTATCTGGTGAGCTAAACTTTCTGCAATAAAAGTATGGGTTTCTACCAGCAATAGTAGTTTTCACATTCAAGCCTCTGTCTTGCACATGCTTGCAGAAGAAATAGAAGTATTGTCACTGTAGGCTGTTAGTATAAAAAAGAAATTAATGTGAAACTTCAAAGCCTTCAGGTTTCAAGGAGTGAGTGATATTGCTACTGTCTTTTTCCAGATTTCTATTAGATATAAATTTTCTAACCTTAACACTGGTGTAACAATGAGGGAATGTAAATCCATGTCTGCAATATTCTCTTACTGCTTATGCCAGCACAAGCACCTCCACTGAACTGCTAGAAATGGCTTCTTCATTACTGCTCCTCCTTGTATTATTCAGAGCAGTTCTTGTAACTCTTCCTTGAGAATGCCTCCCCTAGCAAAGTGGTTATTGTTCACAATATTTATAGTCTTGGGACTGGGAGACCAGGCTAGGCCGTGTTCAGGAGAAGAACAATGTGACTTTTTCTATTAATTTCAACTGAATTGCGTGTGGGATTAATTAACCCATAGGCTGGAGTGAAAAAGCTGTCCAGTTGTTTTTGCTTTGTTGAATATGATTGATTAGGAGTTGGAGTGATGGGAAAACCTACAATACTCTAGAACTATGGCATGAGTTCAGAATTTGTAATTTAATAGATTACTTAATTTTATTTTCTAGTTGTACATGAAAAATCTGATGCTAAACTTAAATGGGAGTTTTCTTTTCCTCTGCCACAGGGTGTTGCAATAAAAGCATTCTGTAAAAATCTTCTCTGACTAGAAAGATCAAAGAAAGCAAGTACCAGCTCAGGCATCCTCTATGAAGTTGTCTTTCCTCTCACCTTGTCTGTTTTCTAAATATTGACCATCTTGTTCTCTCCTTGTTCCCAGAATTTATCATGATGGATTTGTAGTGATGTATACCAGAATCACATACCAAAATAACAACATGACAATGTAACATAAATGATAATGTTGGAACTTTGATGAAAGCTGTATCTGGTCTCCACCAATAACCCACTGTTGGAAGCCTGTAGAGTATTAAACTTCTGGCGATCGCAGTTGTAATGTCAGTCAAGAACTCAGCCTTGCTAGGAAGGATAGAGCACACAGCTCCCCAGTGACAGACACTTTGAAATCCAAAGTTGATTGTCTTTGTTTGTTGTGGGTTTGCCTGTAAAAATATGGTGAGCATCATTCTTTGTAAATAAAGAGAATGCTCAGAGTAGTATCTAACCTGAAATCCTTCAGTTTTGTATAGGATTGCTTTATTTAGAGATGTCTGAGGAGGAATGGCTGAGTAACTTCCAGACATAAGTCACAATGGGTTATGTGGATCTCCTTGCTTTAAGAACAAATTGTATTTGGTGTTTACTGCACTGGAAAAAGAATATGTTCCTTTTGTTGTAAAGAAAGTTTCTGAGCACATCAGGAATTCTGTTTTGACAGCGGTCAGGTCTTTGTTCTTCTTCATCCATGCATCACCTAATATATTTTTTTTACAAGTGTTAATAGGTATGGCTCAAGTTCTCAGACTGCCAGCATCTACAGCTGTCAGTGGCAGGTGTTTCACGAGAACACTGGGGTGCCTCAAGACAGCAGTAGGACTTCTATGGGTTTCATCTTATTTTATATTCAGCATGTGTTTTGAGCTTGTTTTTCTCACAGATGTAAGCAGGTGTATGTATAGAGCACTTCCGAGGTGCACGCTGGCTGAAAAGGTGAATATTTGATGTGGTGTTTGTGGTAAGAGGAGAACCATGCACAGCAGAGACCAGAAGAGCAGCAGAGGCATGAAGTTGGGGCACATTCCCCGAGCAGCTCCACTTGACCTTGACCTTGACCAGCAGGTGCTGGGGGCGGTGAGGGATGGCGGGATGCTGCTTTTCCTTCCTCGGCTCGGCAGATCGGAGAGTCGGGGCTCGGCCGCCCCGAGTGATCCCCGAGGGCACCCTCCTGGCGGAGCCCACTCCTCACCCCGCGGCGCCCGGCCCGCCCTCCTTCCCTCCTGGGCCGTACCTGCGGCCGCGGCCGGACCCGCCTCCCGCCTCGGCGCGGCCCCGGGGCGGGGCCCGAGGAAGTGACTTCAGCCGGCGGCGGCGGCGCTGCGGCTCGGCGGGGCTGAGCGGCGCGGAGCGGAGCGTGTGGAGCATGGCAGCGGCGGGGGCAGCGGCAGCGGCGGCGCGGTCGCTGCTGGCGGCGGGGCGGGCAGGCTCGGGCGGGCGGCGGTGCCGGCTCCTGCCCCTGCCCGCCGCGGGGGCCGCTCCTTTCTGCACCGTGGCCCCGCAGCAGCAGCAGCAGCCGTCGCCCGACATGAAGAGCTACCTGTGGTCGCGCTACAAGGAGGCCAAGAGGGTCACCAAGGGTGAGCGGCGCCCGCGGGCTGGCAGCGGCGCGGCTGCCCGGCCGTGCCCGCCCGCCTCGCCCGCGGGACGGGACGCAGCCGCTCCCGGAGCGAAGGGATGCGGGTTGGCGGCTGGGAGCGGGGGAAGGACGAAGGGTTGTGGGGGCAGCGTGAAGGGCTCGGGGGGCGAGGCGCCTCTGCCTGGTGCCGGGCTGGGAGCGCGGCGGGACCGTCCCCTCGGTAGGTCCGCAGGGCTGAGCCCGTCAGAGCACCCTCCGGGGCTGCAGCTGCCTGGAGGTGCCTGCAGGAAGGAGCCTTTCGCACGGCGTGACTCGGGCCGGGCAAAGTGGCAGGTGCTGGAGTTGCGTCGTGTGGGGGAAAAGCAAGTGTAAAAAAAGAAATCGAGAAGTTGGTCGTCTGTGAGAGGCGGTTTCTGCAGAAACCTTCTTTTCCGAAAAGTTAAAATCCTGTGAAGTTTTGGGTGACTTTTTTTCATCATGCCTGTGGTTCCGTTACAACACTGTAAAGGGATGTAAAGTGCTTATACGTGAATGACTCTGGGGAGCCCTGTTCTTTGGCCCAGCTAGGCAAAAAGCTAGGGGACAAATGCTTGCTTCCTTGCTTCTGCCCTTGTTCTGATGGGAATAGTATTATCAAGTTAATACTTGCTCGAGTGCAAGCTTGAATATATAGGGTTTTTTGGGAACTGAAAGAGAAAGAGGCAGAGCATGTTCTACAGTATCAAGTGAAAAAGCTTGTTCCTTGGGTAACCTTTAGATCTCATGTTTTGGCCTTATGAAAAGAAATTACTGTGTTATCCTGTACTTAAAGAGTCCTGAATGTGGGCTTCCCAATGCTGGGTGCAAGCAAAACATTTGCGAACTAAAATAGTGTCAACATTTCAGAAGTGAAATTAAAAGTACTCAGGGAGCGCTGTGGGCTTTTGGAGGGTCAGATAAGGGATAGGAAAAAGAGGAGCCTTTTATTTTCAACTTTTTTTTTTTTCCTGTTTTTGGAATTGACTTTCTCTTATTCTAAACCACACCCAAATAATACTTCAGGGTGATGTTATTAAAAAATAAGTCGGTCAGTGGGTGTGAGTTGGCAAAAGATGAGGCAAGTGCTTCTAGAATATTTCAGACTCTTGTATTACAGCCCTAAGTCACCCAGTGGCTTCAAGTATAGGACGTTTCATTTAGTTATGATGTTGAGATGATGTTTCAACATCTTCCCTGATTTTTGAACCAAGGTTTATAGAACTTTGAATGCTTTTCTGCCAGCCAGAATGCCTAATAGCTACCTAGCATTTACTGTCTGTTTTTAGACAGGCAGTACTCAAGCTCTTTTTTAGCTGAAATATCTTTTTATCTACGTGTAGCTATATAAATATCTTTGTTTTTAAAACAAGTGTTGAGTCACCAGGCTGAACAATTGACATTTGAAAAAATACTTCAACTATAATACAGAAATAGGTGTTGTAACGTGATTTTAGAAGTTCACCAAAAATATGCTTATGTCTTGAAGTTAATTGAGTGATTCATGGCCTTTTTTATAGAGGAAGAATATTTACCTTAATTGTAGCATGTCAAATTGCATTTGATATGATTGCTGGGCTTTATTTAAAATTTGGAATTAAACTCGGTAAATTTGCTTTTCTTCCTCTCTTAAAAATTAGAAGACTTGGATATCTGCATCTGATAAAGTCGAATGGCTTCAGATTAGACTGGAATTTGACATCTCTGTGTTTCTCACTGTATCTGCCCGTCAACTGTACAGCAGTCAGAGGCATTGCTTTTACAAAAGAAGTGTAATTTCCCATTCCCTGAGTTGACCAGAGTTTTCACAGTGGAGTGCTGTCTAACTGACCTGGCGTCTCCACACCTACCCACACCTTGTTGAGACGGTTTCCTCTGGTGGTGGAGCATCCATTGACCTGTCCTCAGAGCTGAAGGTGTTGAGATAAACTTGATCAATTCCTTTTAAACTATATAGAAAGTAACCAAACAGACCATATTCCCTTTAAACTCACCCTTCCAAGCACAGATTTAAGATGATAGTTCCCTTTTTTTTTTTCCCAATAGTAGGGAAATCTGGAATATAAAGATAGTCTATGAGAAAGGAAGGAAGGAAAACATGCTCATGTTTTATGCTGACAGGAGAGTAGCATTTAGCCTCCTAATGTTGCTGTTTCAAGTTTTCTAAACAAGAAATATAAACATTCTTAGTGTTTAGTACTGACATTGGTGTTGGTCCTGAAGTTACTTAATATATTATGGGCTTAGCTTCTCAGTATACTTTTCCATCAAATATCAAGAGAAACATAGCCTTAAAAATGTAAGTGGTTTACACATTCTAGGCATGTGTAAGTAGAGAATAAGCAGAATATTTTTGGTTTCCTGATTTGCTAGAAGGTTAGTAAGCATAGCAATGTGTATGTAACAGTTTTTTGGAAACTATGGCAGTTTACTCAACTTGAACACAAATAAATAATGTGATAACCTTGAAATGGTGAAGCAAAAAAAAAATAAATGAAAGGAATGTCAAATTGAAACAATGTCAGTTCTGCTTCTGTGGCAGGAGCTGGACCAAGTAATGGGAGGAAAAGACAAGACTCCTAGAGGAGTAGTAAGAATAATAATAGTAATAATAATAATGATATCATTCCCCAACTCCAAATTAATTTTCAAAAGCATTAATAAATATATTAACAGAGTTAGCAAGAAGTTATGTCTGCCATTCTCCAATAAGCAAGATGACAAAACACATCTTCTCTCCAACTTGGACTGCACAGAGAAAAGTGTGCTTCAAATAAAAACTGTGGGTCACCCAGACAAGTTTGGGACAGCATCTTCAATAGCATCATATTGTTAAGGAACAACTGCTTAGTGTGGATTAGTTTGATAGTTTCCATCATCATTTATCTATATTTAGCAATTGCTAGTGGATTTCTATGTCTTAATTTAAATAAAACTGCAAGGCTGATATAACTTCTTTTCTTTTCGTACACAGAGTTGGTTCCTTCAATTATGAGTAACATGCTGAATCCAGATGCTATTTTTTCAAATAATGAAATGAGCCTGTCGGACATTGAAATTTATGGGTTTGATTATGACTACACATTGGTCTTTTATTCTAAACATTTGCACACGCTGATATTCAATGCTGCTCGAGATCTTCTTATCAATGAACATCGGGTGAGTAAAATTAATGGAATAACAATAAATTTATGATAAAGAGTATAATAAATAATTCCTGACTGAGAGGCATAGCTCATCTTTTCATGCCTCAGTCCTAGCTTGTCGCCCTTGTAGCACATTTTGTACAAGACCTGCATATGAACAACAGAAGTGCTGGTTTATTCTCAGCTGCAGTTTTGAGCAGAGCACAGTCTGTCAAGGAATACAGTTATTTTTGTCTTATTTTTTAATGCGGTGATCTAATGTGGTTTGTTGTTTGTTCCTGACAGTCATTTTATTGGAGTCACATTAATAAATAAGAAGCTTAAAAGTTACCGTTACTTTGTTTTATCCATTGCTGTGAGTGCAGTGATTAGTTTCCATATGGAATATTTTTAGATTGCCTTCCGAGCAGGTCTTTGATTGCACTGTGTGTTTGCGAGGTGCTCTGTGTGCACCGGGCATTTCAGCTGCGTCTGCTGAAGGGGCAGCGTGTGCAGTGACGCTGTAATCAGAGCCTGGATACTCGTAAGTGTTCAGCTCAGTAGTCCCCTGACCCCTTGCCACTGTGTTTGCAGTGGTGACCAGTTGACATCCAAGCGTTTTGGAGCTGGTTGTTGTGTAGTTTGGAGATGGGGAAAAGTTCCCGTGTGTCAGGAAGCGAGGCAGGGGGGGACATGGGTGACTTAACAAACTGAAGGTATTGCTAGGAAAAAGACTGCAAAAAAAAGGTGGACTAAAAGAGACAAAGCTTATTGAACTGTAGGACTTGCAGGAAAATAAAAGTCAAAAAGTCCAGAGAAGAACTTAATAAAACTGTTTGCGTATTTTTATACAACCTAAATCAGAATGGGTGGTGTTATTCTACTTTCGCATTTGAATCTAAAGGTTAGGAGCTATATATAAACATCTATAAATATCGTTGGAAGAACAAACAAAACTTCGTGGGTGCTACAAGCATGCACAGCTTCATCTCCCTACAATTTTGGCATGATAGTGATTTCTGTGGGATGTGTAAATACATTTTATTAAAACTATATCGTTCTTGTGAAAAACAGCGTTACTGTAGGAGTCAAGATTTCTTCTTGTAGACAAAAATTGAAATGGTTAAAATTATTAAAAAATGATTCCTGATTAAAATCTCTTGAGTTTTAGTACACAAAGCTGTAATTAATTTTTGAGACAGCTTACTGAAATACGTTGTCTTCTGTTGGAATTTACTGAGGGACAACAGTTTTTATTGGTGCTATCTATGGAGCTGCTTATGCTGTTAATGTTTCTTTTGCCTTTTAACATTAGGAAAAATATTCTAGATAGTACTGTCTGTTATGACTGTTACAGTCAGTCTAAAAGATGGCCAAGTTTGGTCATGGCAGTGTGAGGTAATTCATCAGAAACTGCAAAATGCAGTGTAGGAAGCAAGGAATTTTGAAGTATGTCCAAGAGAATAAACAGTGTAGTGCTAATCAAGGAGGTGGCAGCAGGTATTCAGTGTAAGCTCTTGCTTTTGGGTTTATTTCTTTCCCTAGCATACAGACCTTGTGCCATCCTATTGGGACTGCTCTTTCAGTCTAGTTATGTTTATCCCTATCAAAAGTGGAGTAAGCAAACAGTACAATTTTTTATAATGTTTTTTGTTTGGTTTGTAAGAAAGCTTTGATTTGTGTGCCGGGGTAGGCTCAATCTTTACTTCTTATGTACTTCGTATATGAAAACCCAGCCTTCTAGTAGAATAAAGTAGGCAAGTCAAGCATGCAGAAATTTGATAAAAGTCAGAAATAAATTTCATTGCACATGCTTGATGTGGTTGCTTTGGGTCATGTGCAGTACATGGTAGCTTTTAATTGATCACATTCTGTATCCTTCATTGATGTTGTCCCTTGTGCCTCTGCTTCATGTTCCCTGGCCAAATCTTCATGTCTTCTAACCTCTCTGTAGGCTTCTGATGCTGTTTTTCATTCTGATCAGTAGCCTACCCTGTTTTTTCTTGAAGTGGTAGTAGGGAAGATTGTTAGGAGAAAGAGCTGTTTTCTTTAACTGTATATGCCTGTGCTCAATGCAAGCACAACAGCAGTTGCAGGGTAAGTCCTCTTCAGCAAGATAAAAAACTTTGGGCTAAATTGCAGTCTACGTATTTCTTGTAAGAGTGGCTAGAGCCTCCGTTGAAGCTGCGTGATGTACTTTCCCTGCCTCCCCCTCCCAAAGGCTTGTAAATTAGCCATACGTGTGTGGAGACTGTTGTAGACAAGGTGAAAAATGTGCCTGAGATGAATTTGTCAAGATCTAGGGGCTACTGTAGCCTGTGGGAGGGAAATGAAAGATTGCCTCTCAGAGGGTTAATCAAAGAACTGATAGTTTTCTCTGACCTCGTTGAAATGATTGAAGCATTTTACCTTTTAAAAACAAGTGAACAAAACCCTTAGGCCAAGGCACACACTTGACTTTTTTTTTCGTGGCAACCTGCGGTTAAAGCAGGACAAAATTACAAGGGACTGAAAATGGACTTGTACTGAAAAATGCTAGAAAACTATGTCAATGGGTGTGTGAGCTGCCTACGTTACATGTGAAGAACATGAGGAAAGAGTACATGACAAAGACATTCAATTCACTTACAACTCCAAACAATGAGTTATTTTAATATATTAAGAATATATTAAATCAACTTTTCTGAACAAGAGGCTAATGTTCAGAGGTAATCACTACAGAGTATACCTGGATGTCCAGCTTCAAGTACCACAATTGACGTAGATTTAAAACAATTGCCTTGGATTTCTGGAAGAATTGTTGACTTGTCTTGTACTGTGTACATATGTTCCTGCAAGTCTTCACCAGCCTATCAAAAGCCTCTTAATGATTAGAGAAAATGAGAACACAGAAAATGTAGACTTTTAAAGTTCTGCTGAAACAATTTTTATTTGTTTCTACTATGACTTTAAAATAATTACTCTCTTTTCTTAGTATCCTGCAGAAATAAGAAAATATGATTATGATCCAAATTTTGCCATCAGAGGACTTCATTATGATGTGCACCGAGTATGTATAAATAACTTTGTGATGTGTTATTTAGCACTGAGAACCCAGCCAAAGAAAATAAATAGAGCTTTTAAGTCTTCCAGCTTTCCACTCTGCATTGATTTGTAAGAATTTTGTTTAATATTCTCCTCTTTCATTATTATTATTATTATTATTATTATTATTATTATTATTATTACTGTTTGAATAGCTCTTAAGTAGAAAATGTTTTAGGTCTTTTGTCCTCGTGGTGGGCAAGGGAAGGCAACTTAAAGAGTGCAACAGAATAAACCCAGGTAAAAGTAATTGATAAAAGTTTTTTGGAAGCAACAAAGGAAGTTGAAGTGAGGGTGCTCAGGTGTTCTTGAAACAGGTTAGAGGTAAAATTGGTTTGACTTTTATAATTTCATGTGAAATAGTTGATGTGATGAAAACTGTTATTTTCTTTTTTTTTCCTGCAAGGCATTATTAATGAAGATTGATGCTTTTCATTATATTCAGCTGGGAACAGTTTACAGGTGGGTAAAATTATTTTCTATTTATGGTAAGAAGGTTTACTCTTATTTTTTGAATCTTTTAACTGCATTTATTACTGTATATCTTGGGTTCATATCAGGAACTGTGCCCTGACAAACACAGACATGAGTGAACATTGCAGGCTTACTGGAAGGGGGTTTCTTTGCACGTCTGTGTGTACACACAGGCGTGTGTACATGTTTACTGACAGATACAGTACAGCTGATTCCCTGGTCCAGCTGGGGAACTTGGCAGGCTGGTTGGTCACATAGTGCTGACTCACTTTGTTTCCGGCTGTTAAATTGTGCTGAAAGATATCTAAAAATACACTGATGACTTCTCTGCTGTTGCTTTCTATGTAAATAATTGTCACAGAGTGCCTGTTAGCATGACTTTGGTGTGGTTGTGGAGACACTTGAGAGGTCTTGCTGTGTTTGCGCAGAGCTTTTAAGTTTGGACACGTCAACCACATCGTACTTGCAGAAGGAAGCGCAGCACAGCCTGACACTTTCTGAGTTTACTGAATTGATGTAACATGGGCAATCTCTGTACTGTTCTTTGTTACATGATGTTGACATACCACATGTGAACTTTGACAGGAAAGTTTTTAGTATGGCTCAGTTTGCTGTAATGAAGCAGTACACATTTGACTGACTTGAACACCACATACAGTACCAGGGTTTAAATCAAGCAAGAAGCCAGACCACCTTTCTTAAAGTCACTGGACAAAAAGTTTTTGTCTGGGGCCAAAAGATGATGTGACCTTGAAGTGATTTACTGTGGGGGATTGTATATGGTAGTATGAAATGATGATAATGTGCTCATTACCTCTTTTTGTTTGGCAGTTGAGCAGGTAGGGAGATAATTCAGACATAGTCATTGATCTGTTATTGTACTAATTTGGCTGAGATGCCTTTTGGGAGAGGATAGAGGAAGGTAAGGAAAATGAAAAAGGACACAAGATGGCATGGACCAGCATTAGTCTCCTACCATCAACACAGTAGATATCTAAATCTACCAGAACAATGTGTTCTGTAGGTATCATCAGAGTCTGAGGTGAACTTTATATCACTTATTTGTGTGTGCTGATGTAGAATAATTACTGTATGTTTCAACTGACAAAGCCTGTTGTGGTTTTCAAAGAAATCATTTATGCAGGGCTCGGATGGAATCAGAGAACTCGGTGTAAAGGTTACTGATGGCAGGATTCACTGTGAAAAATGCTAGTTTGTTAGATTAAAGGCCAGGTGAGGTAACCAAAGCAGTTATGAGGTAATCTGTGGCAGTGTGTAGTAAAAATGTAACGATTGGTGTGGATGGAAACATGTATGTATGAGAGCACCAGAAGAAATGTTGATAGAGGGAACAAAATGATGGCATGTGTTGGTGGTGCCTGGATCAGCTGGTCATCAGGATTTCATCGTATCTGCATGCTGTTTCCCCAAAGACCTGTACAGGCATGAGGGGAGATAAAAAGAGGGTGAAGGATGTGAGAAATTATGTCAAGAAGAGTGATGGTAGGACTGGAACTGTATAGGTGTCCTAGATGAGGAGATGAATGGGTAGTGAGTCCATCAGCAGTCTTGTGTTATGGCTCAGAGTGAGACAAATGAAGAGGCAGAAAATCAGTTGCTGTCAGCTCCTAATACAAAAGGCACATCCAAAGCCAAAACATGCTGACCAGTCATGAAAACTCTAGGAAGGTGTTAAGATTTATGAAGTGCTAGTGACCCTTGTTCTCCTTGTCCCCCAGAGTGATTCTGGGTGGATTGCTAGGCCACACATTTTGTTATTTATGGTCTGCGTGAGCATGAGAGTTAAAGCTACCATTTCACTTAGTACTTTCAATTTTGTTTAAAATGAGATTACCTTTTCTCTTCTGTACCAACAGTGAGCTTTGTTGTCAGTTGCTGCATACCTGTAGTTGCTAGTTTTATTGTTCCATATGTTCTGTACGTGTGTAGATCAGTTACACAGCTAAAAGACTAGTCCAAGTGTACAGCCCCATTTGCACTGAGAGATGTAAGCAATTCTGGTGTCCCTCTAAAAATGCACATCTCCAACAGCAGCAGTGGGAGTGTTGCTTAAGGTGAAGAGTGATGCTTTTAGAGACTGTCTGTCCATGCTGCCGGTGAAATAAAACAAACTTTGTAGTTTTACAGCTGGGCTGTGAACTGTGTCAAGACTGTGAGTCTTCTGGTAAAACTCATCTGCAGCTTTGCCTAGACAGTCATCTCTTCACTGTGGCTTTCACATATGTCTGTTGTCCTCTCTTGATTTGTGCTTGAGTAGTTACAGATCCACAAGTGTTTTCTTCAGCAGTATTCAAATACCACTTGGCATAGCTGTCTGCAGACCAGAAGGTACCTTCTCAATTCTGATGGTATTACTTGCTGTTCTTTTAACATTTGGTTGCGTTTAACGTTTGTGTTTGCTGCTGTGGAATGGGTGATGTTGAACTCTTTATGTTACAAAACAGAAGTATTATCTGCCCTGTTTGTGCACAGTACTGACTCGGATGATGGAGCCCTGCCAGGGATAGCTCAGAGTTATGTACCAGTTGGTGTAGCATTGACAAGAGCAGTAAAGGAGCTGGTTAATGTGGGACTCTGCTACCATGGAAGCCCTGAGGAAGTTGATGTATTCATACCTTTTCACTGCAAAGCTGGTGTGGGTGATAAGCATTGAAAGTACTAGGCTAATCAATGTATTTATTTATTTATTTATTTATTAATGCCTGAAAACACTTCTTGGTGAGACCAGGAAGGGGAGGCACTGAAATAAGAGCCTGTTTTAAAAAGCTGCAAACCACCATGAAGTAGGCATAGAAAAAAGGACTGGCTGATCTGGTTTTCATTTGTGTTTTTTATTCCTAAGCAAAACCTCAACACTTCTGTGTCCTTTGGTGAGCATTTGGATGCCTGCAGTCTTTCAGATGCTTTAGTAAAAGATGTTGCAAACATCTAAAACCAAACCAAAGCCTTTACGCTCTTAATATTCATAAAGAAACTCTGGGGAGAGACCATATCTCCTCCTTCCCCATTTGTTGTTGTATTTTTTATGTTTTAATTACTTGTCAACCATCCTTCAAGTAATCTTAAATTTTGTGAAACTGAACTGTTGGTACAGTTTAAAACAAATTCTTATTTAGGTAAAGGTTGTGTATGTTTTTCTTTCCCTTGAATCTTCAAGGTCATAATGCAGAATAATCTGGTTTAAACGCTTATCACATCATCAATACTCTATGAAGGGAAGGCAGTGAGGAATTTGTGTTAAGAAACTGTAAGCTCTAACTGCTTACAAACCCTTGAGGCATAATTTCAGTGGAGACTAATTAGCTCTTTTCCTGTAAGAAAGTAAAGTTAAATTTTAAAGTTAAAATTTGAATATGTTCTGTGTGTATCAGTCTGTTAAAATGTTACTTGTTTGATAAGGAAAGATACTGTTTTAGCTTATAGACAAAATATATAACCATTATTTGTATTTTAATAAAGTCCAGAGCTACATGTTAATCTGTTGGACTTTGGTGATTACCTGAAAATTTTAATCTGACTTTTGAACTAAAGCTAATGTTGTTTTCCAGAGGCCTCAGTGTTGTCCCAGATGAAGAAGTTATTGCAATGTATGATGGTTCCCATGTCCCTTTAGAACAAATGAGTGACTTTTATGGAAAGGTAAAACCACAAATTGATCTTTATAAATGGTTGGGGGTTGTTTGTTTGTTTGGTGGCTGTTGTTTGTTTTTTTTTGTTTTTTGGGGGGGTTATTTTGGTGTGAGGGTAATGGTGTTTAAATTTTGTTCTTATTATAACTAGCAGTTATATTTTCTCAATATATGATTGACTTATAGTGCTAGATGTGAAGTTTACCCTCTAAAGTTTCCTTTCTTCTGCTTGCTGTAGTTTCTTCTTTGACTTCTCCTTTACCCAATCATACAGACAGAGTAGTGGAACATAGAAAATCAAGTGACTTGCTTAGTGTTGCACAGCAAATCTGATAAAGGCTGGGAAATGAAGCGTATCTGGTGCTTTACCCAGGCTGTGTACTTCTTCCTGGTGGTCTGATGGCTGAGCTGATGTAGCAGCAAGTAAATGTGTGGAGGCATCTCCTGTTTGCAGACTGGCAGAGTGACAGAGGATCTGACAAAAGATGAATGAAGAGGTGAAACATTTAGATTTAAGATCTGACTTTCTCAGGAAGGTTGATCTTTTGCTAGTAGGTTCCTTCCTCTTTCCCAAATGAAGAATGGTGCTGTCTTTTTACTGAGAAGCCAAGTTTATTTTACACCTTTTACTTAGGGGTGTTAATTCCATGTTGACATGAAAGGAGCTTCTTAGGGCTGTGGAGCAGTTTATTGTTCTTGCACTTGTTCTTATTTTAAGGAGCTGAATTTAGAATTCCTGAGTCTGTTCTCTGCAGCAGTTGTGAATATCATCCTGGCATTCCCTGTGGGATGCCTTGGTCTCTTTAGGCCTATACTTTCTTAGATCTTGGAAAGGAGAGTGACAGGACAAGAGACGAGAGACACAAACTGAAACACAGAGGGCTTCCTCATCAGGCAGATGACCTTCCTTTACTGTGAGGGTGACCTAGCACTGGCATGGGCTGGTTGTCCAGGCAGGTTGTGGAATCTCCAGCATGGGAAATTCAGAAGCCATCTGGACAAGGTCCTGGGCAGCGGACTCCAGGTTGCCGTGCTTGAGCAGGGGGCTTGGACAAGATTACCTCCAGAGGTCCCTTGAAACCTCAACTATTCTGTATTTCAGTGATCTTGAGCTGGTTGCTTTACTTGTCTCCTTATTGAGAAGTATTTGGGTTGTATTTGCTGTTGTATAATGAGATTCTCTACTTTTGTGAGTCTTAACTATCGTTATAGGTTTTGCAGACTAGAAATCTCTTCCTTTGTTACTGCATTAGCTATTGTAGATTCTTAAAGCTTTTTATTATCTTCTTTCAAGGAGATAAATTGTTTTGCAATCCTAATCAGTATTCTACTTACTAAAAAAACCCCAAACAAATAAGAAAACCTCCATCTACCATCACAGTACCCAGTGCCTCTTATTTGCAGAAGTGCAGATTTGTAGTCAAGGCCTCTAAGGCCTTTTCTTGACTTTAAGCTGAGTGCTGTCTTGCTTTTATGAATTAAAATATTGCTTTTAAGAGTAAAGAATTGGATTTATTTGTAGAATTGAGTTGGATTTATTTGAAGAATTAATCACAACACTTTTGTTGGAGATCCTTCTTGAACCAAGACCTTCAATATAAGTATCTGACGCAATGTGAACAGGGATGGCAAAACCTGAATATCTGCAACTGAGCTGAAATGTTTATACTGAATGAATAAAAGTGTTTTAATCTCACAAATGCCTGACCTTTTTTTTTTTTCTTCCCTTTTCTTCCCACCACTGTAGAGCTCACAAGGAAATACAATGAAGCAATTCATGGATATATTTTCCTTGCCAGAAATGACACTTCTTTCTTGTGTGAACGAATATTTTCTGAAAAACAACATAGACTACGAACCTGTTCATCTGTACAAAGATGTCAAGGTAGTAGCTTTGAAGATTTGGGTAAACCTCTATATTTGTGCATCTGCTCTGTGAGCACTTCAGGAAGCTTTCACCTATTGTGTCAGCCTCAGTGAAATACCTCACCTTAGGTTTTTTATGGAGTAATTATTGCTATATAACCTTAAAAACATAAGTAAAATTAAGGTAGAGCTTGGAAAAAAACCACAGACTCATCTGACATTCTCTAGGGCTGTAGCTCTTTTTGTAGTTTTGAGGGGTGGATAGGGGGAAAATGAAGAAGCTCTTGTAAGTTGGTAAGACTTCTTTGAATTGTTATTAAACAAAACCTTTTTCTCACTATCAAGAATGTAAGAAGCTGTAGGGTATTCCAGTTCGGAGCTTTCAGCTGTAATCCCTGTACATCTTGGCTGGTATACAATCATTTGCTACCTCATGCTTTTGGACTGTTTGTTTTGCCTGTTTACCTCTCCTCCTCCTCCAGAAAAGCTCTAGTACTAATCTAGAGTAATTTGACCCTCTTGATTCCTCAGGATGTATCCTGCAGAGGAGATCATTTTATGTCACGGTTGTGTAAGAACACATGAGATAACGCTCAAGGTGATAGTATATGTCTGCACAGGCATTCCATCCAAAACCTTTTCCTGGCTCCTTGTTGACATGTATTAAACTTCTGCAGTTGTTCAAGACATGTGATGCACTCAAATGCTGAATTTCTCACTTTCCCAAGTAGATCAGATGGATTTTAAGAAATTTTCTACCTCCAGAGTAATTTTCCCTTCTGCCTGTGGTTACATGGAGTCAGAAGGCTAGTTCATGTAATTCCTGCTGAAGTATGTGTAGAAACTTCTGTACTCTTCAGCATTACCAGCATTTTGGAAGCCCTGTACTGGTATTTTCTGAAGGTTTTGAGGACGTAGCCCATGTGAGTACCAAAATGGCAGTACCACTGATCTTAAACAAAGTTGTCTGGTGCAGAGCTGGCTCACGAGACCTGCTAAATGCCTCCAGAGCGCCTTATGAGTGCTTTGCTCAAGCATTTAGCTTCTTTCATCCGTCCATAAATTCCTTATTTAAATAACTAGGGTATTTGTAAGTGATTGTAATCTGAAATCTGTCAGACGTAAAACTTTTGGTTTGTTTGCTGGTTGTTTTTTTTTTTTTTCATCTGCAAGAGGAGAGGAATGTGTTCTGCTCCAAAGGTCACTTGGAGAGTGACCACAGAGCAGTGGAGAGTGGCCACTTGGAGAGTCACCACAGAGAAATCTCTGCTGCTGCAGAGGGCTTTCACCCCACTTCACCTTTCTCAGCAACCTTTCACAGTAGTTATGTAAAACAACCCCTCTGCTAATACAGTTTTGTACTTCTCAAAATTAAGAAGTTCGTGTCTTGGAGGACAGGCTTACTCTTTTAGTGGTGGCATGTATATTCAATGAACATTACATGGCATTTCGGTAAAGTGCAATTCTGAGAAAAGAATTGTTTTTAAAACAAATTACTACTGCTATTGCAGTGAGCAGGAATTTTATGCTTGAAAAGATTTTAAAGTTCTTTAGTGCTCTGTTCCTTTCCTCACAGGATGCAATCAGGGACGTCCATATCAAAGGAATAATGTACAGAGCAATTGAAGCAGATATTGGTAAGTACTAATGATATAATCTATCAGAGCTTTTTTCAGTGATAGCATACTGATCTTTCTGGCTTCCGTATTTAAGATTTCAAATTCTAAATTTTTAAAGCTTGAGAGCTTGCCAGAGGTGCCTTTTTAAGTATAACCTTGAGTTCTGAACCCCTTGGTTGAATGCAGAGAAAATTTTTGTGAAAAACTTTCTCAATTAATACTGTGTTTTCCCCAATCCTGACAGAGAAATACATCTGCTATGCTGAGCAAACTCGTGCAGTGTTAGCTAAGCTGGCTGATCATGGCAAGAAGATGTTTCTCATCACAAACAGTCCCAGCAGCTTTGTGTAAGTGAACAGTTGTTTTCCGTTTAGTTGTACATTTTTAAAGGATGGGGAGAGTGAGGTTCTCCAGTCTAATTAATCATATATAATTAATGTAATATGTAATTAATTATGTTGCTCAGATAACTGCACATCTGTTATGCTTCACTGTTAATATCCCTCTGTCCTTTCTAGGGACAAAGGCATGAAGTTCATAGTTGGCAAGGACTGGAGGGATCTCTTTGATGTGGTCATTGTACAGGCTGATAAACCAAACTTCTTCAATGATAAGCGAAGGTGGGTGTTCAGTCAGCAAAGAATGATTCAAGCAGCCTATTCCATATAAGGCTGTAGAGAGTGTTATTTCGAAATATTTTAAGTTGGCTGCAATGTAAAATGAAATCATACTTGGTGAAATCCTGTATCAGGTCACCACAAAATGCAGCAATAGGCAATTCTGAAGTCTAAATATTTACCGTTTCTTACCTAAGAAGGTTTCAGGAGCTATCACAGGTCTGCTGGAGCGAGTTAGGGTCACAGAAGCTATTTCTAATATTGTTCTTGTAAGTTGGTGAAGTGTGCTTCTTTCCTAAGAAACCTGAGAAATTTTGATGCCTTTTAGAATCATCCCCTTATCTGGAAATGTCTTTCATTGCTTCAGGTTTTTTTTTTAGTCACAAATTATATTTAAAGGGTGTCTCTCTGGCTGACAGACTGGAATACTTGGACTAGTTGTTCGGTTAAGTAAACACATTTGTAATATACATACACTATTCTTATATTTGAGAAAGACTTGTTCCTTTATGTGTAATTATGATTTGAAAGAGAGAGGGAGGTGGGATTTTTTTTTTCCCCCTCTTCTTCATTTTATTTTAAAAAGAACTTCACTGTACATCTTGCCCCCAGTCCTTTACCCTTTTCTTCAGTTGTTCATGTGTACAAAATGAGGTACTGGGCAAGATTTTTGCACATCTTCAGGTTTTTTTGTGTTCTCTCCTTCTTGGCAGACAATTCATGCTGTGTCTTCCCCTCTGCCTGGCGTCCCTGCCTTACTTCTCAACAACTGTTGTCAAACTCTAACAAATGTCATTGGTATACTGGAGAGATCCATTGCTTTTCACTGGTTAAAATGGAAGTTTTGGAATCTTGCTTTTTCTGTTACACAGTGTTCAGGTGTTAGAGAGCATGTTTTCCTTTTGAGAGAGGAGTATTGTTAATGTTCAGACTTTAATCTCCTAAGAAGTGACAGAGTTTCTACAGAAACACAACAATTGTATATCTGTTCTAGACCGTTCCGGAAGGTGAATGAAAGGGGGGTGTTGCTCTGGGACAAGATTCACAAGCTGCAGAAAGGTCAGATTTACAAACAGGTATGCTTTCAAGAGACTCTTTCCGTTCAAATTTAACACCTATTTCCTAGAATCCCAACCTTCTTTAGAAATAAGGGCTTCTAAAATGTAATATGTTCTTCAAGACAGTTATTTTAATGTCTGAAGGTGTAGAAATTCATGGTCGGTATTGTACGTCCTTGCCCCTTGGAGTTGATAGTATTACTGAAACCACTTGTAAGATTTGGGCTTCGTAATATGTAAACTGAGAACAAGATAAATGATGTGAAAATGTTTTTAGGGGTGTACTAAATTCCTTTTTCATGCAAGTTTTGTGCTGCTGCAATGTACATGTCATTGTTTCTGCAGGGTAACTTGTATGAATTTCTGAAGCTTACTGGCTGGAGGGGCTCTAAGGTGCTCTACTTTGGTGACCACATATACAGTGACTTGGCAGTAAGTAGTTTGCTTTCACAAAATAAGATAAAAGAAGAGGGGTTTTGTTAGTTTTCCTCTCTTCCTCTCCAGTTATTTAACATTACACGCTTTCATTTGAGATTTTGAAATACAGCAAAACTAGGTTGGTGGTTAAGCCATACGGCTTTTTTCTGTAGTGGAGAACGTTAGTGCCTTAAAAGGCCAACCAAGTTTTGCACCTGACTTGTAGCATTTAACTTGTTTACTGACTGTGGTCAGGAATGTGTGAGTTTGTATACCTGATCCAGATACTGATTGTGTCAGATGTAGCAGAGTAAACACAGATATCCAAATATACAGGATATGCATGATTTGGATGACATTTACTGCCAAGTGTAATATGAGATGAATGAACTTCTGTTTTGAATGCAAGAGGAAGTCTTCCTGTCACTAATGGTAAACTTCCTTCTTAAGATTTTGCTCTGCTTTGTATCCCAACTCTCTGAGCATTTTCTTACCACCTTACGAGAGAATATATTTTAGCTGTTAATTTAGGGTAAGTGACCACCACTTAAGTCTTTTGTAATTGATTTCATATGAATGCCTGGATAGGGCTTTTCCACTGCCAAGCTATGATAACATGTTTCAGCAGCAGAAGATGTTAACGTTTTTTTCACCAGTCTACTTTTGAAAAGAAGAGTAAGTTTGGGTGCTTCAGAAGGCTGAGGATTGAAAAAAGGAGAATGCAGCTGTGTTCTAGTCTGGCACAGTGGAGAAGAAAGCACAGGTGGCATCTGCCTTGTGTTGTACCTGTCAGGAGGAGTTTGGATAGCTGGGGCTCCTGATAGGAGCCTTCTGTTAGCTGAATGTGTGGGTAAATATCACAAACCCAACACATGATTCCTTCAGATACTTCTGACAGCAGCAGTGGTCTCATCTACAAGAGAAATGTCCTGCTGTTTGTTTTAAATCTAATGAATTAGTGTTTATTTGAAAGTGCTTGTGTGTTCTTTGTCTCTCTTCAAAAATGCAGGATTTGAAGCTTAATTTGAAATTAAATTTTATCGTTTATTGGCACAATTAAGTCCCACAGTTTCATATTCCTCCTTATACATAAGAAGCAATTAGTGCCCCTTTGGGATACACAATGGTCAAATTCTTCTCTTCTTTTTAAGCAGTCCTTCTTAAGACTAATACCTCTATTTTGTAATTCTTGGTGAATAGGACTTGACCCTGAAACATGGCTGGCGCACTGGTGCAATTATTCCAGAGTTACGATCAGAGATTAAAATCATGAACACAGAGAAGTACATTCAAACCATGACCTGGCTGCAAACCTTGACAGGATTATTGGAACACATGCAGGTCTGTTCTGTGTCTGTGTGTAATCGGCTCTGTGTAGCAGAAGGGATCCAGCCAAGTTTCTAAATGCTGGATGTTGATGTTGCAAGTGCTTTGAGTCTCATTGAAGTGTTTGACTGTAGATAAATAAATGCAGTTATTTATGTGGCTAATTAATGTGGTTTTTTTTTCTCAAAATCTCATCCCCTTCCTCCAGTGGTTAGCCTGCATCAGTGCCTGCTTTTGGTTGTTTAAAATGCGTGTGGATAACTTCTGTATACTGATCTCTGAAGTATTGCTCATGTCCTGTTGGCTGATAAGGGTTTATTAATGGAAAGGCTTATCTATGGGGGTATCCTTAGTTACAGGTTATCCATACTTTGCATTCCAGGTTCACCGTGATCCTGATTCTCAGATTATTTTAGAAGAATGGAAGAAGGAAAGGAAGGAAATGAGGTAAGACACAGGAGATGAAGAATTTGCAATATGCTTTGTGATAGCCAAGGGTTCTATGTAATGTCTTCCACAGGTTTCTTCAGAATTTCTCTTCCTCCCTGATTTATATTCCTTTGTAGTTACAGGCCTTATAAAATGTTTTTCTGTAGCAGTAGTCTACCTGTCTCTTGTGTAGCTCTTCTCTCCTCTGACACTTTGTGCATAGGAACCCCTTTTCTCTGTTTCCCTTCTTTAGAGCAGATGTTCATTTTCTGCAAGAAAGGGTAATATCAGATCAAATATGTTACCTTCTCATTTTGGTTTTCCTCTCGCTCTGTGTTCAGCTGTCATTGTTGATTACACAGCTTCTGGACAATTAAAAAATGTATTTCTTCCTCAAGACTCAGGTTACTTTTTCAGTTTTTTAGATGATTTCTTCAGATTATGTATTCTAAAATGTATTACATGTAGAAATTGGGCTCTGCACTAGACTGGATTTAGCAGTGGTTTCATCACAAAAGATAGGTAATGAGACTAGAACTCTAATAATCTATTATCTTGAAGGAGAGGAGTAATCCCTAAATGTGGGGGGTGTGAAGTGCACAATTGGCAAGGCCAGCAGCTGCACCAGCAGCAGCCTTCCCTAGAAACATGGAAGTAAATGAAATGGGAGTGATACTTGGCAGCAACTAATGACAGAAGTTAATTCCAAGAAGTGTTTAAGCTTTTTATGTGCATTAAGCCAGATATGTGACTTTTTTAAACAAGTCTTTTATCTTTGGAACAAGTGAATGTCATTAGGATTTAGATAAAGGTAGAAGTCTTCTTTCCCCGTCTCTAGAAAAGAAGGCATGAGATGTCATGTTTCTGATGTCAGAAGCAACTTATCTCTGGTTTAGTGGGAGAAATGTGAAGCTCTTCTGTTCACAACTGCGATTTCTAGCTCTGGGCTACATGTGTGCAAGAGGTGAAAAAATTTCTTACGTGGCACATTTAAGTGTTCAGAGGTACAATGGCAAGAGAATGATGCATAGACCAGCTTATAGGAATGGCTTGCTTCAGGTTCTGGATGCTGGCTAGTGAAGAGGTATGTGCAGGTGTGTTCACTTCATTGTCTTTGTTTTCTTTCTTTGGGGGACAGGGAGATGAACAGGAATTTCTTCAATGCGCAGTTTGGAAGCATATTCAGAACTGATGAGAATCCAACTTACTTCTTAAGACGTCTCTCTAGATTTGCGGATATCTACATGGCATCACTGAGTTGTCTCTTGAACTATGAGCCTGATTACACGTTTTATCCAAGAAGGACTCCTTTGCAGCATGAACTTCCTGGCTGGTCAGACCAGCTGTGCACTGGTACATTCAGAATACCTTTCCTACAAGAGACAGTTCAGATCAAATAAAAACTTGGTGACTTCTCTCTAAAATGGACAAATATATCTTGGTTTTTTTGAATGTATGTGTGTTTTATTTAAAGTCACTTAAATCTGTTACCTTGGTTTAGATGTATCTCATACTTATTCTCATAAGCATTGTAACTGTTTTCTCCTCTTCTGCTCAGACACGTGAAAACTCCTCTTAGACACAGAAGAGATGATGGACTGCCAAAACAGTAGTAGGCCAGGAGGGGAGAGTACATCTGAGGGGAAGGACTGGTAGTGTTCTGGGGTGGTTCTTTTTGTTTCTTTATTGGAAACTTGGATCTGCAGCCTTGTGGTTTACAAAGAAATACCTGTACTCTCACTTCTGGCCCTTTTCAGCACTCCAGCTGGAGCCTCTAATGGATCTTGGCACTTGAAAAGCTTAAATCCAGTATTAGTAACTCAGTGATAAACAGCTAATAACCAGGTCAGGGTGAGACTCAGAGGGATAGTGTACGTATTGTACCTTTCCTTGTCGCCGTGGCTGCAAGCTGACCTAACTGAGCTGAGGGCTGTGGTGTCAGCATGGCTGTGCTGCACTGACAGGCTCAGGCTGATGGGCTCTTTCTCCTGTCTGTGCAGTTTCTGTTCTTGTAATGTTTGTGCTTGGCTGCAGGTGGACCTGAGCCTAAACCTGAAACTGCCAGTAGCTTGGGCTGCTTCAGCTTCCTCTTGTTAACTTTTAGGCACCTTTCTTTTTAAGTTTCAAAACACTTCAAATACCCACTCTCTAGTAATAATGTAATTTCAAGAGGTCTTGCATCTGGCATTTCAAAGTGGATACAGATCTTTCCATTAGGCTTTAGTTTGGTCCTAAATGCTGCTTTTAAAATTTTTAACAGTGTCTTATTACAGTGGTATGCAATGTGGTTTTGCTAGGAAAGAATGTATTTCATATAGCCTTTTACAGTCAAGAGTAAATACGCACAACGGGCAAAGGAGCTAAAAGAAAAAGTAAGAAATGAGAAAATGAAACCCAGAGTTTTCTGTTGACATGTTTTTAGCTCAAACCCTGAGAGCTGAATTAGGGGTGGTGCAGAATTTGCATAAAGAAAAAAGTAGTTTTGGTGGTGCAGATTAAAGGTTTTATTGAATTACTGAAATTGAAGGTAATGCATAAACACAAACTCTGGGTAGCATATGTTCCAAAGATTTGAGCTAAAAAATGTCTACTTTGCACAAGGAAAACATCTGTTGATGTGTTTCCTCAAACAGGCACTTTATAGAACTGCTATATAATTGTTTTTAAGTAAGAATTATTTTATTTCTCTGGATCCAAAGGAAATGGGTTGTTTATTGTTTTTAACTGGTGCTTCCCACCCCAGCCATTTTAGCAGGTATAATATGATTAATAACTTTCAAATTTTAGTTATTAAAGGCTTTTAAAAGCATTTTTAAAAGTGTACAATTAACAAAATATATAGCATAGGGTGTTCTTAATTTCGTTTTGGGATATCACTTGCTTTCTCTCATGATTGTCAGGTAAACAAACTTTTGGTGACCAAAAGTTTTCTCATTTTGTTTTTTTCTTTTTTAAGCTGTCTGTATTATGTGCAAGTTGCTAGATTGAATTTCATATACGGTATCTTTCATGTTTTTAAAAGCATGTTTGTAAAGTCAAGAATGTATTTTAATCTAGCCTGCACAATTTTGTAAGTAGTTTTCCTGTATGCTTGAAATCAGTATGAAGTCCTCAGAGGTGGTTGTAGATTTTATTGTTTGCTTGTGCTCCTATTTCAAACTTTTTGTGCAGCACGCCTGAAGTGTGTGTGTGTATTTAAACAGAAGAGGAAGTTCATCTGACCGTCCTGCTGTTTTGCTGGATAGAAAGATAAAGTTCTGCAGGAAGTTAGTTTGAATTTATCAGGAGACTTCTTGGTGTGGCTGTGCAAGAAATATATAGCATAACTTGTTAATGAAATGTGGGGATGGAAATATCCTGATTTGCCTTCAGTTCTTTATTCTGATGCTCAGCTACAACCGAACTCAGTGTTACTCGTGTGCAGCACCGCTCGTGCTGCAGAGCTTTCAGTTCACTCTTGAAGAAAAGAGAAAACCCACCAAAACTGTTCTACATTCTCTATCTTACTACCAGCAAATCATAAGATTGTATTATTCAGTTCTGCATTATTGAACTTGATCATGTTTTGTTGATTATAGCTCTATGATGTTTATTCTTTTAAAGCTGGCTAGGAGCCAGTTTGTTTGCTTAATTTTCCTGTGTTAAGCAGGAACAGTTTAATTGGCTTGGATGTTGCTATCCACATAATGCGCATTTTGTTTCAAGATTTTCTTCTTTTACCCTGCCTTAGAAAATCAGACTTCTGTACCAAGCTATGTTACAACAGCCAACTCAAGTAAAATATTGTTTATATTGCATGAGTTCTTGAAATAAACAACGTTGCATGAAAAGAATTAAATATGGGAGGGTTGTGTTTCTTTAAAACAATCCAACTATATATAATATGAATTTGAGAATATTGAAGTGTATTATTTATTTTTCAGTGCTAGAATGCAGCTCTTTTAACTTTTAAAAATATCTTGCATTTTTTTAATGATTTCACCTTGGCAGTCTCTGTGTTACTCATTTTAACCTTGTTGTGCCACTGACTTCAAAGAGATTTTTGAGCATGTTTAAAAGGCAGTGTTTCTTTATATTAATTTTGGGAGTATAGTTCATTTGAACACCAAAGCAAAAAGAAATTTTTGTTCTGTTCTATCAAAAACACAGAGGTGAATAGTCTGTCAGTAAAAGAAAGAGTTTTATGAACTGTGGGGCTTTTTTTTTTTTGTGATAAAAATATTTAATGATTATTACAAAAATAAATGTTTGGACTTTATCTTCTGGTCTCTCTGAGCCTTAATATGTTGGGTGACTGGGGAGAAGGAAAGAACATGAGCTGTATTAATTGCAAAATTTTAGATGTATGAGTGTGCGTGTTTTAACTGTGTTTGTGTTCTAAACTTTCTGACAGAAGTTTAAAAAAAAGCAGGTGTGTGTAGGGGGGCAGGGGAAGAAGTTTGGGAAGCTGCTTCGGTCTGTCTGTTTTATCCAGGTGTATTTACACATTAGATTCCCTTCATTGTGCTCGAAAGCTGCGTCAACAACCCTGGGTTTGCCTGCTTTTCTCGTTTGGATAGTAGGCATCCTGGGGTGACACCATCTAATGCCCCCCCCCCGGGCATTAGGGGGATGTTACTGCTGCCAGGGAGGAAAATCTTCCTTTGCTTGCTGTTTCATGGTTTCTTCGGTGTTCTCACTGTATTGCTATGCTGTTAATATTTTGGTAGAAGGGAACTCGTGTGATTGACTTCTAATAAGTGTGCTGTGGTGCCAGTCACAGCTGTTACTGCTGTGCTTCCTAAAAATGCAGTACGTGAAGAAGCAGCTTCTGCTCCTCTCAGACCTGAAAAACTGAATGTAGGCATTGCATGGTAAGGAGATGTTCATATTCGTTGTCTGTCACAAAAATGGGTCAGGTAGAGACTGATTGGCATTTAAATGCTCTCATATCACCTGCATGTCTTGCTAAAGCTGCCTCAATGACTGCTTGCCTTTGTACAGTGAGATGAGATGTAAACAAAACAGCCAAGTTCAGGGAAAGACAGAAAAGCTCGCGGAGGCAAGTGGGGCAGACAGGGTGGTTGTGTTTCCTGCTGCTGAATATCTTACTTGAAAGTATACTAGCAAAAAAATCTGCTCAATTTAAAAATAGACATTTGACACATGTCCTGTTTCACGCTTGTAACTGAGTTAAATGAAAGCACAGCTCTAGAGTACTAAGAAATTTAGGATATTTGCCAAGTTAGCAACCCTGTGTGTTTGTGACCATTTTAAAGTCTGTGAAGAAGAATAAAAGCAGTTAAAAAGCAGGCTAGTGAAAGTTATCTACTTTTCCCAGTGAGGAGTCTGTTTGCTTCTGGTTAGGTTTGTTGAGACTCAATCTTGCATTTAGCATTTGTAGTTGGTACTGCTCAGATACAGCCAGCACTTCTGAGGTTGGTAATTCTGTGAGTTATATAGACTGCATCTTAAATAAAGCTGTGCTCTTTTGGTTTTTAATTTGTAACAAGATTTTATTCCCTGTAATGTGTAGGTGCTGGTTTTCTTCACAGCAAGTGTAAATAGAAATGTGTTTAATAACTGACTAATGCCAAATTCAGTCTTCAATTCTGATCATGAGGACCACTCATCACAAGCTGTTGGTCATCTGAATCCTATAAAATAGAAAAAAAAAAGAAAATCAGACTTGCACATTACGTTAAGAAACAAAAGTAACTTTTTGGCACATTTGTCCATACAGATGGCAGAGTTGGCACCCAACATTTTTGCACCAAATAAGACTTTTTACTGGATGCAAAAAGGTGTATTTTGATTTTAGACTCTGCATATACGTGAGAGTATTGCTAACTTGGACCACTGAAGCTATTCAGATACTCTGGCTTTACTCAATCCTGTCTTCTCTTGATCCCGAGCCCCCCCTTTTGTGTTTCAGATTCTTTGGAGTGCTAGCATGGCACTCAGCTGTGTTTGCAGCAAGGAGACATGAAGACAAAATTCAAAGGCTTTTACAGTTTGTATAGACATGTCACTGTCATCCAGAGGCATTTGAAGTCCAGTTTAATTCAGCTCTCTTTGAAGATGGACTTGAGGTACTTGAGCTCAGAGCCTCAGTTTTGCTAGATGAGATAACCCAATTCCACACAGTGGTGAGACAGGAAAGCCAGGAACTTATATGTTGTTTTCTTGAATTAATTTTTTTTCAACGAGACATTTTTCTTTCATAAAGTCATTCCCTTTCAACCTTATATTAGTAGTTTCTCAATCTCAAACCAAAATGAACACTTACTGAGAAAAGATCATAAGTAGGTTCTGGTGGAGTCACTGCAGAAGAACTTTCATATGAGGGGTTGGTGATATTTGAAGACTGTGACTTGTCCGGTGATGATGTGTCAATGTCATCTTTTGACTACACAAAAACACATAAGCCTGCTTAAAATTCATCTTTTTCTTCCAGTGCATTAAGTGGGGCACTTAAGCTTCAACACCAGCTGGTGAAGTGTTGTGACTGAACTGGCCGTATCATCTAACTCACCATCTCCGAGCATGAACTATGTTTGGGGTTATTGTAGTATTATTAACACTGATTTTCCTCTCCCTTCTTATTTTTAAGCCTCAGCAAGGAATGGGAGAGGAGGTGTGGCCCTGACCTTGTACCTGGGGTAAAAAGTACTTGATTGGTCCTGAGTGCTCTCATTGCAACTGTATAAAAACACAGGCATTTCCCCTGGCTCTTGAGTCCTGTGTTTTGTTTCTAGAAGGTGATTCGTATTACATGCAGGGGCTAGAACAGGAAGGAATTTCTGTTTACTTATAGGTAGACTTCCTTTTGGATTGGTTTTTGTGCATTCTGTAACTTTTTTTGTCATCCCTCATCTCTGAGTAGCTTGGTTGTTGCTGGTTGGTTTCACATCATCACCATGCTACGTGAGGATAGCAAAGTTAGGTAAGAAAAGTCAAGCATGAGAGCACATCAGTATAAAAACCTGCATTCTTCAATCCTGCAGTCATTTAAATTTGCTTGTCTTGTGAATCTGACCTTTTTCCTATCAAACATTTCAACCTCCAGAGCAACAAAATGATTAGCTCTGCCACAGAGGAGGGGGAGGAGAACTTTCAGTGGCTGTAATTCCCTGCTGGAATTTCCATGCATGCAGGAACCCATTGGGCACCCTGGGTGGAGGTGTCTGGGGGCAAATGTAAACTTGTGCCCAAGACAAGTGTGGGAGCCTTCCCCACTTTCCCTGTCTCAGTCTGAACAGTTCAAGGGGGAAGTGATAGGGAGTGTTTCCGTCTTAACAAAATGCACAGAGAAACTGGAGGCTGTGAATTTGGGAGTTGCACTGGGTCTGGAGAAGCTTTGTGTTCCTGTCTGCCACCTACCTTGAAGTGCTGGAAGCTCGTGTTTCTCTTCCTGAACCTGAGGTAAGAATACCCGATAAGAGCCACAATTCCAGTAACTAGACAGATGCCAAAGAATATTCCTGTCCCAGTACTGGTGTGGAGAGGAGCCTGGAAGCAAGCAAGAGAGTAAATGAGCTGTGGGTGGGCATTGGTCACCTTCCAGCAGCCAAGCACATGCAGTGTTCCTTGGAGATATGCTCTGATCCTGAGCTGCTCTTGTGCTTGAATTCCTGGTACATGTTCCCTAGAGATGGTTGAAGTGGCCTTTTGATAGAATCATGGAATTGTTTAGGTTGAGACAGGTCACCGAGCCCAACCATTCACCAGCACTGCCAAGTCCACCACCAAACCATGTCCCAAAGTACCACATCTACCCATCTTAAAGCCCTCCAGGGATGGTGACTCTACCCCTTCCTTGGGCAGCCTGTTCCAAAGTTTGACAATCCTTTTCATGAATAAATTTTTCCTGATGTTCAATCTAAACCTCCCCTGATGCAACTTAACGTCATTTCCTCTTGTCCTGTTACTCAGGAAGAGAGACTGGCCTCCACCTTGGTACAACCTCCTTACAGGTGGATTTTTTGGGGGTACTGGACATTGTCTCCAGTACAGCTTCATCTTCTTTATGGTTTTAAAGCTGAAAGTTTGGTAGAATGCCTTAAGCATCTTTTCTGGTCAGGTTTTTCAAAGGAGCAACAGGGGCTACAGTGAGACTTAAACCTCCCTGGCTTGAGGAAGACAAACAGGTACCAGACTTGCCTGAGCAGCTTTGGAAACCTGTACTACAAACTCTAGAGGGCTTTGCATGGGTTCAGGCTCACTCCCTGCTGATTTGTGCACTGGGGAAGTGATGGTTATTGCCAGCTATCAGTAGCCATACTGATAAACACTCTGAGCCCTGCTTGCCAGGGCTCAAAGCAAACTGCATCTGAGACCTAGGCCCATCTCATCGTTGGTCAGAGGGACTGTAGGAAAGATTTAATTGCCCTCTAGCATGTGAAAGGTATTATAAAGACTGTAATATCATGTTGCTGTAGACCGACAGAAATTGCCTATTATTTTGAATAATTTCCAGGCATTAATTCGTACTTTTACCCAAGTGTGCTGTTTCCTACTTCTGAGAGTTGTAGGCTGCAAGAGATTTTTGTGAACTGAGATTGTGCAGGCAGGTTGCTGGGCTTCTAGAAATATGCCTGCACATAAAAAGCTGGTTTGTAAAGGAGAAAGGGTTGCTCAGAACAAAATGAAAGTGAGAATTAGGGTGTCAATAGCATTAACCTTGTGGACCAAAGAGATGGCTGGATAACTGGAACCTTTGCAGGAATTCATGCAGGCAAAAAAATATCTGTTTTCAAAGCGCCAGGTTGTTTTGGATAGGAAAGAACACCAAGGCAAGAGTAAACAATGTTCCTTAGAATCTTGAAAGATCTTTTTGGAAGAACTAAAATGGAGCTTTATGAAATCTCCTTTACATACATGAGCTCCATTATTTTATTTGAAGAAGATAAATTTATAAATTTGGGAAGAAATTGTTCAGATGGAAATATTTTGAATAAGCTTCACTGGCACTTTGTTTTCAACTTCCAGTTCTCTTTGAAAGTAACCTTTTGAAGCTGAAAACTGCATATGTGGCAGGGAAACTAGGAATATATGAATGTCAGCAATGAGTTTAGGATGATATAAGCCACAGCCACCTCCCATCACATCAATAAAATAAATCACTATGTACTTACAGGTTCTGGTGGAGCCTTTAGAGGTTCTGAAATGATGTGGATTATTCCATTGGAGGCAATTATATCCCACTCAACTATAGCACTTCTTTCCACATATCGGATCTCGCTCTAACAGGAAAAAGAGGAATGAGAGCTGAGCTTT